GGTTAACGGCCGTGTGGCTTCTATGGACGTTTTTATACACTTGCAGTTGCAGAACATGAGCCCCTTTTTAACCTTCCCTCTCCTGAGCTAACTCCTGGTTACTGGGCATGTGGAGCAGCTTTCCTGCGGCGGTGATGCCGGCAGGCGCTTGCCCTTGGCAGTGCCCTTCCCTTGGCAGGGGGCTCCTGGGGGCTTCTACCTACGGTCTCTGCTCCACACAGGGTCTGGCTGCGAGACCAGCCGCTCYGCGGCGAAAGAAGCTCCAAAGGGAGACATGGGCTCAGTCCCTGGGCCTGGAAATGGCTGCCCAGCAGTGTGGCCTGGAACCGAATCACCGCATCATCCCCCCTCAACASTATCACCTGTTTCTAAGTCACTTTTATTAACTGTCATTGATGGGGCTAAGGCTGAGCAGGTCGCAGCTCCAACCAGTGAAGTGGCAGCGTCAAAGACTGTGATAAAGGTACAAACACACAAGTCTTTTAAAGCTGATGTCAATACCCTGGTAACTTTGGCTAATACAGCCTGGGCAGAACGCTGTCCTGGTGATTAAGTTAAACACACATATTGCTCGGTTGTACATTGGCACGCGTTGGTTCTACCCACAGAACTGAGTAGCAGCACTGCCAGCTTGTCAAGCGTTGGCCCAGTGCTGCTCGCTGCGTATGAGCTCTAGGAGGTTGAAGAGAAGGGTGCAGGAATCAATGGAGAATAAAATAAAGCTCATTTATACCTTATACTTGCGTTGCTCTTTTATTAAATTTCCCTATTTCTTCAGAGCTGGTGTTAAAATAGCCTTTAAAAGCCAATCCAAGGCTTACTCTGTTGCAGAGAACAGGTTTATGGAAGTTAGGCATGCGGTTTTTAACTGGAGTATTCCAGCTTAGCTGCAGACCGTGTTTTATTCTATGCTTTATTCTCACAGAAATCGCTTCTAGGAGTCTTCAAAACCAATGGAGTGTGTGTGGGGGGTGTTGCTTTCGTGGCCAGCTGGGCAGAAGCGTGAGGAGGGGACGGTTCCCACCGCCCGCCTCCCCGGGGGGCTCTGCCCTGCCGGCAGCATCGCGCTGCACGACAAGAAGGGCAGGTAAGCGAGAGCAGTGGCGGAGGCTGCGCGCCGCTGGAGCATCCCTGCGGCCCGCTGGAGCATCCCTGCGGCCCGCTGGAGCATCCCTGCAGCCCGCTGGAGCATCCCTGCGGCCCGAGCGGGCTGCCCTGCACGGTAAGGGAGAACGCAGCAAGGGGACCGGCCTCCCTCCGGCCTCCCCGTGCGCTGTCCCTGCTTGTTCTCCATCCAGCTCCGCGGAAAATGCCCATTTTGGGCTCACAGCAGGTGGCAGAGACTTGCGTTTTTTCCCCCAAAGGACAGGAGCCTCCGCTGGGTCTCGCTCTGCTCCCGCTCGGGAACTTGGATTTATTCTGCTGTAGAAAACTTGGGGCGATTGTGAGGTTGCCTGCGGGGAGACTGAAAACTGAGTGCATAAATAGTCGCTTTACTTCTAAAAACATTTAGCTTTTTATTACTAGTGATTTGATTGTAGTGCCTGCTAGAGCTTTGGAGACAGCATCTTAGTGTCTTCTTCAGATATACAGCACTTACAAGGAGAGCTCAGAGCGACTGWGCTCATCCAAAACTGCTGCTCTGGCAGAGAGAGAAAGGAAGGCAAAGACTGACATATAAGACAGTTACACGGTTTAAGGGGAAAAAAAGAAATCTGAAAAGTCTTTCAGAAGGAAATCAATCTTGCAATTTATATACATGGAGCATCATATGTAAAACCTAAAATTTGTGTCAGAAAGACTAATCTMTTAGATAACCAATGCAGGCTGTAATCCTCTGGTGTGCAGTACTTCAAATATTTAGATCATGCTTGGACAACTTAATRATTATGAAAAAATATATAGTTACATTAATTTTTGGTGGTAATAGTTTAAGACRTCTGAATACTGTTTCAGGAACTAGAAATGTGCTTATTGATATATCACAGTTCCCTTAACATCTTTTTTAAAATACCATAGCCTGGTGTCCCATGTTTAGCTTCTCTTTTTTACTTTTGCAGCTATAAAATTAACTCAAAGCAATGGTCAATACCTTCTTGAAAGATGACTGGTAGCCTGTTGCCTGCTGCTGTTTTATGAGATCTGTAATTCATTTTGTGTTTCCCGCATCAGGACTGGTTTGTACCRTTAGCATCTTCGTTAAAGGTCACCTTCTGAGATTGTTTTTCTTTCTGACATTTGTCCCCATTCAGCACGTACTGAAAAATTAAGTTTGCAGACATGAACTGCACTGGGTGTGATAATGTTTCTGGAATAAATCAAAATAATTCGTCTAGAAGTATCATCGAAGAACTGTTTGAAATGTCAGTGTGCCACTGAAATTAGCGTTGTTCTTTTATTGAGCATGCTGTTCTGCTGCACTTGCCCTCTTAGCAATTGTCCAAGTTTAAAATCTCTTGTTTTGAAAACTTTTTTTTTTTTCATCTAATACTGAAAATGTACATGCTCATAAAAGTTCCCAGACTGACCACAGTCTTCAGTTTGCAATAGTCTTTTCTGGTGAGTTACCGGGAGCGTTTGCAYGTAAATCTCTGCCCTGCCCTAATAGCAGTAGCTATGTGAAGGACTGGATGAGAACTAGTCAAAACAAGGTTATGTCAGCCTGGATGCTTAAGAAAGGAAATCTGCTGGAGTAAGTGGAAAATTCCCCCATGGTTTCGTTGTGATCCCTATATAACGCAGAGTGTGCATGCTGTGTCTCCCCAATGGTGCTTGTTGCACCTTCACTTTTCTTCTGATGTATGTGTGTATCTTTCTGATAAGAGCTGGGTGAATTTCTATTCTTATTCTTCTTTCTAATAAGACCTTACTTACCAGTTGCAAGTGACTGAGAGAGATATCGTTTTTCTTTTCCATGAAATCAATGCATATCCTGTACGTAACAACTGTCCGTTTGCACAGGCCCATGGCTGATCGGGTGCTCGTCATCGGCAGCGGCGGGAGAGAACACGCTCTGGCCTGGAAGCTGGCCCAGTCCCCACATGTAAAACAAGTGTTTGTCGCTCCAGGAAACGCAGGAACAGCTGACAATGGGAAGATTTCAAACTCAGGTAAAAAGGGGGAAAAAAAGTAAGTTCTGCGAGAAATCTGTAATACAGGTTTGGGAATTGAAGCAAAACTTTACATACTTGCAGTCAGTGGATGGTAACAATAGTTGTTTTCTTATACTGCTACCACAGATTTTTTTTTTTTCTGGAAGTTTTGCTTTTGCTTATTATGTTTGTAGAGCTGTCTAGTAGAACATCATACTGTATGTAATTTTAGCCTATTTGCTTAGGAAAGTGAGGCACCTATGAAGCTCCTATGTGTATTTCCACACTTTCCTCCCACTGTTCTGCTTGAATTCACTGACAAATTTCAGCTCAGCTTAGTAGAGAACCACATGTCTGAAGGGTACTAAGTTTCAGATAAAACCTTCTCTGGACCCTGCCCAAGGGCACAGCTAATTTTAGCTATATCATCCTTTGGCGTTGAATGAATCTGTGTTGGACTCTGTTTTCTTATGAATTTATTATTATTTTTTAAAGGTGTTAGTACATTATGATAAATAGCTTTTAAAAACTTAWATTGATTACATATAGCAAATAGAATACTTAAATTAGCAATTGTATCTTAAAAATATCAGTTCAGACTGGAAATGTTCACTGTTCATTCTAGCCTCTGTTATTAATATAGTTTGTTTTCCTTTGCCCTTCATGGCCCGTAGTCTATTTCAATATTTTAATCCTACTCTTTGGGGCGATGGAACCGTGACATTCTCATCTTCCATCTGTTGTTTAGTCTTTGTACTGCACTGAAGTTCATTATATACCCTTTTCCTTTTCAGCTGTGTTAGTCAGCAATCATACTATTGTTACCCAGTTCTGCAAAGATCATAACATTGGACTTGTGTTAGTTGGGCAAGAAGCTCTTCTGGCAGCTGGTAAGGCTGAAATAAATTATCTTGATGGTAAAAATCCGGACCTTGAATTCTGCTGTAAAAATGTTCTTATAAAGATCAAAAGGTGCACGTATCCATAGTTAAACTGAGAAATGCAAGGAGGAGGTTTGCAGGGTTTTGTAAATGCAAGCTGTAATCACCTTAAACTTTTGGCTTGATAGTTATGTGCTGCTTTTTATACAACGGAAGTTGTCTGGGGAAATTCTGCAAAAGCAAGAATTTCTGATGCTGACAACTCCTCCTGTGTGTTCTGCTGTGCCCTCCTTTATGCAGAGCCATGGTCACAAGGCCGTTGCTCTGTGTCACCGTGCAGCAGTCATTGCCAGCGTTGGTTATCATGGATGTAGCACAGTGAGGTCTCCACCACTTGCACAGTGAACAGAAGTACCGGGCACYCCCAGCTGTAGCCGTGGGGTGGTCACAGTGACAGTACTTAGTAAAATGAAGAGCTGAAGACTTCCTAAAGCTAGGTGGTTAGACACAGATCACTGCATGTTCGGAACATTGTTTTAAGGAAGAATTAGTTCTTTTAGAGAGAGCGTAACAGGTTGCTGGAAAWTCACTATATCAGACAGATGTGCTTCTTTCTGTGAACCAATGACTTTGTTCTTTTGGTGGTTTTGATCATTAGGGATTGTTGACGACTTGAGAGCAGCTGGAGTTAGATGTTTCGGGCCATCTGCAAAAGCAGCCCAGCTGGAGTCCAATACCAGTTTTGCCAAAGCCTTCCTGGATCGGCACGGGATCCCAACAGCGAGATGGAAAGCCTTCACCAATCCCCAAGAGGCTTGCAGGTTTATAACCAGGTAAGTAGTTTGACACTAGAAATTCCTTCTCTGTCAAGTCATGTGTATACTTGGCCTTCATTCACCGTAATTGTCTGGAACTAGGGAGGAAATATTTTATTTTCACCTGCACCTGCCTAGGGCTGTGTGTATGAGCCTCATAGGCTGCTTGTCTTTGCTATTATGTATTTCATGTGGGGTAATCAGGTGGAACTTTTTTAACAGAAAACAAAGCCACCTTATCTGGGAATTTGTTGAGACTTGCTCTGTAAGAACATTCAGTCTGTATTGTTGCCATATGCAGAGATTTGCATTTCCACAAACATGCACCTGGCTCAGAAGGAAACAGGGTGTTTCAGGAGGGCACACTGAGCTCTGGGGGAATGGGGTTCTGTGTGAGCAGCTCTTCGGCTGCTTATAAAATCTAACATTGAGATTGATCCTAATAAAAATTATAGYGTGGAAAGGAGAAGAGAATGAGGTGTTTTGTCAGATAATCGTCTCGTAGTGTAATGAATTCAGCTCTTCAACGGGGACACGTCATTTGACTGTCCACAAACTCAGGATAAAGTGTAGTTAAAATGTCAAAATGTCACACAGTCCTTACAGTGTCTTTTGTTTTACTTCTGCACATTTAGTTTGCGTTCAAGAGTAAGTGAAACAATTCTGCGGACATTCTGCTTACATGCTACTTTTAAAATATGCTTTCTGAGCAAGATCAATCTCTGCCTCAACCTCAGAACCATAATGTGAGCTTCAATAGTGTATACAGGAGTGTGTACTGTAGCCCACAGAATCACAGAATCCTTAAGGTTGGAAGGGACTTTTTAGAGATCATCCAGTCCAACRCCCCTGCACACGCAGGGACACCCAGAGCACGGGGCACAGRGYGGCATCCAGGCRGGTTTGGAAGATCTCCAGAGAAGGAGACTCCACAACCTCTCTGGGCAGCCTSTGCCAGGGCTCTRKCACCCTCACAGTGAAGAATTTTTTCCTTAAGCTCYTGGGGAACTTATGGCCATTTCCTCTAGTCCTATCGGTGGCCTGGTAAGTCTAGTGTTAAAAGCTTATAAATCATTTGTGCATTCATTTTTTTTTTTCAGTCCTACAGCAGGAATAAAATAGCATCCCAACTCTAGAAAGSGAAAAGAAGATGTGAGGTGTTAAGTGGGTGGTCCAACCATATACACTGAGCTGGTGTTAGAGCTGACTGCAGAATTCCTAGAATTCCTCTATTTCCATTCCAGCTCCTGTGATGAGTCTGTAAGAGCCTATTCATCTCCTGACAAGATGGGTTAGCAGGGAATGTACTTTCCTAATGTGTTATTCCTTGATTGTTCAGAATAAGAGAAGAATATGGGAGGCATTCTCCATCAAAATGTGCCTTTCATGGATGCAGTAGGGATTCCAGGATTTCACTTTTGCTTTCTTTTAAAGCACAGACTTTCCTGCTCGAGTTGTACGGGCGAGGGGCCCTGCTGCCAGAAAAGAAGTGACTATAGCAGCCAGCAAAGAGGAAGCCTGCAGAGCTGTCCAGGAGATTATGCAGGTGGAGAGCCCTTTGTTTAAACACTGGCATTCCACTTCTTGGTGTTCTGTGCCCTGTGCAAAATGAATTTGTGAGCTCAGCCATAGGAAATAAGTGTTTTCTGCACAAACTCACCCATTTGGCTAAGAGCAGGTGGATGTGGAAACCGAATCCATCAAACCTGCACCAGAACTGGTGATGTTGCTCTCTTCCTATATGTGTTCTCTAGGAATACTTTGGTCTACATGTCTGTCAGTCTGTCAGTCACTGTGGGATTTTGTCCTTGTTCCTTTTCCTTATGGGTACTGAGGAGTTTTGGGGGATTTCATCCTCAAATTCCTCCTGTTTGTCCTGGCCAGTGGGCACGGAGCAGGGCTCTATGGAGTTTGTGTCTGCTGTCTTGTTGCAATATTGGATCCCACCTCCCTACTCCTCCAGCTTTTGCAATTTTCAGTGCCTCCTGGGGTCAAATAATGTGTGCTTCAGTGTGCCTCTCTCATCTTTGAGTGAGGCCCCTTAGTTTTGCTTAACATACAAAAATCCATATAGGCTGGCCTTTTTTATATACATACTTATTTGTTGTTAGGAGAAAGAGAAGAGAGGATTTTGCATGTAGATCTCATGTTTGGTAACCGAAGATTATTTTTTTCTGTTTAGGACCGAACGTTTGGAGACGTGGTTGTCGTTGAAGAACTTCTTCAAGGAGAGGAACTTTCTGTATGTGTTCATCTTTGGTTTATCTGTTTGGTCATGTGCTTTTACTCCTTGGTATTATTTCTACTCTCTCTGCATAAACACACATTTATCATTTCAGATAGTTTTGTGTTTTATAAACGTTCAAGCTAAGCACATGATTTTTTTCTATATTAGCCATCCACTGGCAATAATGGTCTTCTTTTTAGATGCAAAAAGGGTGACCTAAAACATGCTTGCATGGACTCTTACCTGTGTGATTCTTGTAGTTCATGATTATTTTTAGGGCAGTCCTTAGTGCCCACTTTAGCCTTTTACTTGCTGTAAGTTATTACTCAATAGCAGGATAGAACGTAAGCATATATATTAAGGGACTAGGTGCTACATGAAAGCAAAGAATGAATTAGCTGTGCAAGGCCAGTTCTTCAGAGAGAATACCTCACACTCCTTCAGGCCCCAGCCCTGCAAACACAGATGTTTAAACAAATGAGTATTTCTGACAAGCTGAAGAAGACTATTCACGCGCCTGTAGGTAAGCAAACCTCCAAATGACTGCTAAGGCAAGATATTAATTCACCTGAGAAGAGTTCTTGTGAGGGCCATTGTTTTCCCTCAATCAGTTAGGAAAGAAAAGAAAAGAAAGTTTAATGAATCCTTCAGGTGAGTGGATTTKCAGCAGAATAAGCAGATCCCATGGCTTTCTACTTTTGATTATGGTATTTTACTGGCAGGAGAGCCCAAGTCTGTGATGTGCAGTGTTAACCTCCCTGTGSCTGGGACACGGTCACTGTTCTTTGTCGTGTGCCTCTCTTGACAGTGCCTGTGCTTCACGGATGGGGTCACTGTTGCCCCCATGCCCCCAGCCCAGGCCCACAAGCGCTTACTGGATGGCGACCAGGGTCCAAACACCGCAGGGATGGGAGCTTATTGCCCAGTGCCTCAGGTACAGCAGCCTTCCCACCTCAGCCTGCATTAGGGGTGATCATGCCTGCGGTTAGTCTCCCAGTCCCATTTCTATGGAGTTATCGATGCTTTGCTTGCATAAGTCAACACAGGACTTGAACATTCAAAGGCAGTTTCTCAGCTTTCGTGAAGTTGTGCTCTGAGGAACAGTCTCTCTTTCCATTTCTTCTAAGCACTGGAAATGTCCCTGCAAAATTCCCAGCAGACCTGGAGTCTTTGTATCTTGAAGATAACCTTAGGTTTATGGTTGATTCTTACTGTTCTAAATGTGCCGATCAAGTGCATTATTACTATGCATTTCTGTAAGCACAGAACCAAAACAGCCTTACTGTGTGCAGCCCGAGTTGACAGTGTCTAAAGAAGATCTCAGTGTTATTATGGAAAGAACCAGACAGAAAACCTCAGGAGTCACAGCATTAATGCAGCAGCATCACAGGGGCACAAGGCCCAAGGGTGGGACAGCGGGACACGCAGCTGAGGCGTCGCTCAGCCCAGCAGAGCCACATCCCTCACCCCCATCTCAGTCAATCTGATGTTCATCGTCAGGTCTCAGAAGTTCTCCTGGAGAAAATCAGTGATGCTGTCCTGCAACACGTCATTGACAGCATGAGAGAAGAAGGAGCAGCATATGTAGGTAAGGAAACAGTCCACTGAAAAGCAAAGTGAAGTCATATCTAGGTAAGCCTCATTGGTATGTTTTACTTCCAAATAGTATTTGTCAAAATACATCAAATATATATATAATATATTTGTGCTGCACAAATATATATATAATAATATATATATAATATATTTGTGCAGTATTACGTTCACTACTTTGGTTTATTGCTCTTTGTTTGGATACAAGAACTTTTGTTTTTCTCCTGGATGGCATTTTAGGAGATGTGTCATCTCTGTTTGTTTGTTTGGTAATGTGCAGACACTGGAGGGATGGGTTATTAAGTATAAAACAGAAATCTCAGTGGAATATGGGAAATTTGTCAGGAATGTTAACCAATGGAAGCCTGCAGCGGATTGCTACAACTGTTATTTTCAAAAAGAAGTGAATCCTGAAAGCTAGAAGACACTCAGTCTGAGTAATCTTGGGCTACAAAGCATATTGATTAAATGATATTTATTAATAATTGTATCCAGACCCTTTGTAGTTCAAGGTATAATTTATACTTAAATGTGGTCTTCTTTCTGGTCAGGTGTGCTGCAAACAGGATTGATGCTTACCAAAGATGGTGTGAAAATTCTAAATTTTAAATGTCAGTTTGGTGACCCTCAGTGCCAGGTGCGTGAGTGACACCAGAAACTTAAAATACCTTTTTCTATTATTGTTACCTCTGCCTATTCTAGTTTGCTACAAAAGAAACTGAGTAATCTGTTTGCCTGTTTGCCTCTGTGTCTTGTCTCCTCAACATGCACATCCCAATAAGAATGTCTTAGACAATGTATGTGGTAACTTAAAGTTTTAATTAGTCAGTTTCTGTGGATTAATTAGTTACAGAATTTAAGTTAAACTGTTGCTAAGATTTTATTTTTCTGAATGGAAATGGATTAGGAGGGTGGGCTAGATTCATATTTCTTCTACATAATTTTCCATGTTGTGTTGTGAGTTTCTAGCTGCTGCAGAGAATTGCTGTGAATGAATGTTCACTGATATTTTCCAAACCTCTGGAATATAGGAGAATGCAATATATTCAATCTGTTGGATAGACATTTTCTGTGTAGACTGAATATTCTTTAAATTACTTTTCTGAGTGGAATTTGAGCAGCTTGGCAAAAGACTGAACTCCTGTCACTYTCCAAATGGTTTGCAGGTAATTCTGCCACTGCTTAAAAATGATTTCTACGAAGTGATTCAAGCAGCGATTGAYGGCAAACTGTGTAGCTTCATGCCAGCCTGGTCAGAAAACAGGACAGCTGTGTGCGTGGTCATGGCGAGCACAGGCTACCCGGGAGCCTATGACAAAGGCATGGAGGTAACAGGTAACTTCAGTAGGTTGTTTACTCTTCAGTTTCAGCCTGGCACTTCAGTAGGTTTGCATTTACCTCTTCTCCCAGCAAGATGTCTTGCTTTTCTCCATGGCCCGTCACACAGCCATCACAATCTGTCACAATTCTCCTGTCACTCTTTATCCCTGTGGGAAGGGGTAATGGATTACTAAGCGTGTTTAGCTGAAGTTCATGCCTGACCAAAGTAGCACAGGGGCCAGCTGCCTAAAATTACATCGTTCCAAAGAGACCAGCTTGCAGCTTGTGGCTGAGGTGAGGAGGTGGGGGAGCTTTACATCCTCCTAGAATAAATCTGGGGAGGTCATTTGGAGTCCTTCCACGAACAGTGCTGGAGACACGTCCCATGGTGTCATAGGCTCCTGCCTTTGGCTGGCCTTGCTCCCTCGTGGGGAGGTGAGGCTCATCTTGGCTGAGCTTAGTGCTTGGCCAAGTGACAAGGGTGACACCTGGGGACCTGTGGCCTCTCCTAGAGGGTTTGCTCCCTTGTGCCAGGCTCGCAAATGACAGCTGGGCAAAAGCACGTGCTGCTCTGTAATGTGCCCCTCGTAGGGCCTCCACATAGGCACTGAAAGGCTTTGGAAAGGTGGACTTTAGACTAACATTTATTTRCAAGCTTGAATTAAATTTTTGTATTTTTGTATATCATTGGGATTTTTTAATGAGTTTTTTAAAAATAAAGACAACTATTGTAAAACTATTTCTTTTTCCCCTTAGTTTCTGCTATGTTGGTCCAATAGTATGCACTGTGCAAAGTAACCCACAGAGATAGCCTTTTATCAAGGCTACATAYGTTCTTTTTTCAGATCTCTAGATACCCTCTATCAGCTAGAGAGGAAGACATGTTATATTATTTTCCCCTTTATTAAGATTTCTGCTCTCATTTTTTAAATTTTCTTCCCCTGTCCCTCTCTTCTGTTTCTGTCACTGTCTATAGCTTGTTTTATCGGTGACTTTCTGTGAAATTGTGCATTTCTGTAACTAACCCTCCTGCCCCACAACTGGTGCAGTTGCTCTGTCAGCGAGCTGCCTTTCACTAGCAGCACTCAGGAGCTGAACTTCTTTCAAGCTGCCATTGATCCCTCTAGGAGGGAGGTGATAAGACTACCCTGCCTTTGAATCACAAAGATAAAAAAAAAAAAAAAAAAAAATGAAAAAAAAAAAAAAAAAAAAAAAAAAAAAAAAAACTTGGTCAGAACAATGTAATTGAGCCCAGTCTTTTGTTATCATACTGGAACTGTGGTTTTCTGTTTGTTTTAATTCCCATTGTTATCCCCAATTTCAATGGGTTAGCAGGCGTTTTCCTCTGGAGCACTCAGTAAAACTTTAGGGGAAGGAGGTAGTTTGCCCTGCAGCAAGGCCACCTAAGGCTCTGCTTTGACCTTGTCAGGGCAGTGAGGTGGTAAAGCAACACGCCGGACCTCCAGCATGTACAGAGGTTCCTTTTCTTCATTTGCAAAATAGGAGAGCAAGGGGAAAACAGTAGCCTTTTTATTTTTCTTCTTTCCCAGGGGTTGGCAGCAGTTCTTCACCTTCCCTTGCCTTCAAATAGGAATGAAAAAGAGAAGAGAAAACCCTGGGCAGTTTTTGCTTTCCTGTAACAGGAAAATACATGGAAATAGAAATTAAGTTAACAAAGTGTGTCATTAGCTTTAGCCACCAGATAGCTACCTGCAAGTGTTTGTAGAGCTTCAGTTGTAAATGTGGGGACTTGTGTGGAGTGAGCGCAGCAGGACAGTTGGTGTGGTGCTGCTTCAACATGAACATCAGTGAGGATATTAAATCCCAGGAAGGGAGACTCCAAGCAGTAAGTTCTTATGCACTGTGGAAAGATTTCATACAGGAGATCCTTGCACAGGTTATTCCCAGTTACAATATTCAGCGCAGTTTTGCCGTGTCTCAGAACCATCACAGGCCCTACCGTGTCTCTGTGACTCCATATTCCTGTCCCTGTGTGATCTGTGTCCTGGCGGGCAAGCTGGGATACCCTTCCCTGGGCCGTGTTCCTCAGGCGAAGGCAGAAAGCTGCCTTCCCCTGTCCCTGGAGTGAAGCGCGGACTCGGATCTGCGCGGCTTTGCCAACACGGCACGCGGGCGCAGGCTCTCAGGGAGCCCCTCCGGCTTCGCAGGGCTGCTGCAGGCCAAGGAGCTGGGGCTCCAGGTGTTCCACGGCGGCACGGCGCTCCGGGACGGCCGAGTGGTGACGAGCGGCGGCAGGGTGCTCTGCGTCACGGCCGTGCAGCAGGACCTGGCGAAAGCGCTGGGAGAGGCGAGCCGGGGAGTAGCGGCCATTCGCTTCACGGGCGCCACGTACAGGACGGACGTGGGCCAGCGCGGCCTGCGGCTCCTCGAGCACTCCCTGTGCGTAAGCAAAGGCCGGAGCGGGAGCAGGCCCTCGCCCTGCCTCCTCTGCGTGTTGCTCGCGTTGAGGGCAACGGTGGTTGGTGGGGAAAACAGCGCTCTTGCTGCCGGCCTTGCCGCCCGTTCCTCTCTGCAGGGCCCTGCTCTCCAGGGAGAGGTGTGTGGCACCTGGAGCCAGGGATGTTTCGGCTCGCCAGCGAGACGCATCCATTGCAAGTGGGGCCACATCAGGTAAGGTCAGGAGCTCGCTCGGAGGTTTCTCAGCATGCTGAATGAAACAGGACTTTCTTAGGCGTTTTCAGAGGGCCGCCAGCCGCTGAAAGAGAGCTTGAGAAGCTGGGCTGGGGTCACTGATAAGAAAGCAAGCGATTTTTTTCTTTCTCATCCTTCTTCCTTTGCTTAATTAAACCAGTTGGCTTCACATAGAAGTTATTGTAGTGGTCCAGGAGCAGCATAGCTCATGGATTAATGGAGTAGTTTTGCATGTTATGGGCAGAAGTGGTGCTACCAGCTTTATATAYACATTTTATCTATTTATTTATCTATTTATTTATTTTCCCTAAGAATGATCCCCCTTCTATTTGTACTTGGCAGGCTGTCATTCAGAAGCAAGAGGGTTTTCTGGTTTCTTTGACTTGAAAGCATCTGGTTACGATGATCCTATCTTGGTCTCTCGAACCAAAGGCCTTGGACCTAAACTGCAGGTAACTTGCAGCGTGGCCGTAGCAAAGCTCCTGTCAGCTCTGGAGACTTGTTTGAAATGCTACACCCTTAGGAGCACTGGAAAAACACTTTACCAGTCCGCCACACACACTGGTCATCTGARCTTCGTAGATGTTGCTTGGGCAAGTCCTGTGCTCATGTCATCGCTYGTGTGGAGGTTATGGATGTTTTGTGATGAGAGACGTTATATTTAGCCATGCATTGAGTAGGCAAGAAACAGAATTTCTGCTGTGAGACAGAGGATCTGCTGGCTTTGAGAAAGGCTGGTTCAGAGTGAAATTAGTCCCAAGGAGTGCTAGGATGGTTATTGTCAGGCTGAGCTTAATAACTGGCATGCAGAGAGGTGGTGTGATTGCCTCCGTCCTGGCACAGCGGGAAGGACACAGTGAAGGGGAACAGAAAGCAAGAGCTAGAGGGTGCTAATTATCCAAGAACACACAGGACAAACTGAGCCAAGCACTTGTTCATAATGGAAAATAGGAGGAGGCTTTCAACCACCAGAGAATGGGAAAYCTGACTCTCGCTAGCGAAGCACAGCAGCTGAATGAGTTTCAAGTTGGTGATCACACTATATAGGAGCTATAGGGGCAAGGTGATGTGYGTGCAGTAGCTGGAGGGTGACTGCGACAGCCCCATTTCACATCCCTGAGCACCCCTGGCCATGACAAACTGACAGGGTCTTTGTTCCTTAAGCCTGGCAGAGAGCTGTTCCCAACCATGTTCACACAGACCCTTCCCAAGATCCCTCCTCTTCCAAGGCAGGAGCTGGTTCCATATCAGTGGGAGGTGGCAGGGMTGGTGGGAGGTCACCAGGCAGCCCAAGGTGCGGGGTGCTGGGTTTGCTCAGCACTTCCAAAGCCACCTGCCTGTGCCACCAATGGGGCTCACAAGCCAACTCACACCTTGTGCAGCTGCTCATGCTTTGCCATGTTAAATCTGATGGTAGTCTCTACCTGTGTTTTTCCCTTGCCCCTTTTTTCATATGTACTGAACTTTTCTGTGCTGCTAGGACGACATGAGATGCCTAGGGTCAAAAGACTCTTTGAGGAGGGTGAGACCAAGGGATTTCCTACCTCATGGACTTGAAGAAGACCACTTAGTGACATTCTTTGAGTTGAGTGCAATTGGGAGGTAAAAGTACAGCCGAACACTGTGATGAGCGGCCTGGCCTTAACTTTGGAAATTACCACAATGTAGGTTGGACACCCCGGGAATTTCCAACTGCTTTTAAACATCTCTCATTGCAGTTTGACAATATTCCAAAATACAGGCAAGCAAGTATACAGCACAAAATGAGAGGTTTGGCATAGATGGAACAAGGATTTGAACTAATGTTTTTAAAGAAAAACATTCTTTTTCTGCACAAGCAAATGATCTGGTTTCACTAAGTTTAAACTAGATGATCTACTAGATGTCTTCTGTGTGTCTTTTCTGTTTTGTTCCTTATCAGGGAAGATTCCTGCTTCAATGAAAGACCCGTGTGTATTTGACAAGGAGTGTGAGTTTTGCATATCCTTTGTCACCTCTCCTGCTTCCCCTCGTGTTTTTCAGATTGCACAAGCGTGTAGGAAACACGACACTTTAGGCCAGGACCTGGTCGCCATGTGTGTCAATGACATCCTGGCTCAAGGAGCAGAGCCCCTCTTCTTTCTCAGCTATTTTGCCTGTGGCAAACTTGCTGTTGAAGTGACTCAAACAATCACAGGAGGAATGGCCGAAGCTTGCAGAAATGCAGGATGTGCTTTTCTGGGTATCAACACTCCTCTTCTGCTTTGAGTTTTAAAGTTTCTGATGCTAAAATTGTTATTAGTGAAATAAAACATGTAGGCAGGAGCAGGATGTGGCAGGAAAGCAGTTGGTTTGTGCTTGGAGAAAACAGGTAAACCTTTGGGCTCAAATTCTCCTTTATCTCTAAAATGGCTCAGCAGGGAAAAATATCTAAATTTTGCCATTCACATGTTTGGATCCTGGCTCCTCCTGATTTATCTTTGTACATAGGAGAGCCTCATGTTCTTGAAGTGCATATATGTTTGCACATCAGTCATGGCAGAGAGGCATGAGAGAAGCAACATTACATTAGAATTTTTAAAAAAGAAGTTTTGATAAGGTAATGAAGCTTTGCTTTGCCGCAAGCTTTTGGTAAGAAAGCGAGCAGGCTTTTTAGRAGGCGTCTGATGGTTGCCCATCTGTGCAGCAGGATACCTGGGCACTTTGCCTGCGTGAGAAGGTGCTGTGGCTGTGAAGCAGGTCTGCAGCCCGTGCTGACGGCCCCTCTCCCCCGCAGGCAGCGAGGTGGCTGAGCTGAGCGGCCTCTATTCCTCYGGCGAGTACGACCTGGCCGGCTTCGTGGTCGGCGCCGTGGAGCGAGGGCAGGGGCGCGTGGGGCTCCAGAGGGCCGGTGAGGAGGACGTGCTCATCGGGCTGGCCTCCTCCGGGCTCCACGGCCGCGGCTGCGGCATCGTAAGGAAGATTCTCCTCATGTCCTCCTTACATTACTCCTCTCCAGCGCCGGGAGGATGTGGCGGCAAGACTCTAGGTAGAGTGTCTTTCTTAACACAGCTCGCTTGCAGGTTTGCTCTCAGCACGTTTTCCTGACTGGATGTGCCTGCCAAGGGTTGCCTGTTTCAGTGCAGGTCAGGCCAGCCAGCCCTCTGGCTGCTCCATGGTCCTGCTTCCTGAGATCTGGAAGCGCGGAGCCCTGGCCGCTCCCCAGGGCCGTCTGCCACAGGAAGCAAAGGGGACCTGCTCGGAGAAGCCCCTCCACTCACCGCTCAGTGACTTCTAAACAAATTGATTGCAATGCTGYCTCTGTTTGCAGGAGAGGTGCTGCTGGCTCCAGCCAACGTGTACAGCCCATCGCTGCTTGCTGTCCTTCGCTCGGGGCACGTGAAGGCCTTTGCCCTCCTCGCAGAGGAGGGCTTGCTGGAGGGCATCGCCAGAGCCCTGCCAGAACACGTCGGCGCGCTCCTCGGTAGGTGCCACGGACAAGCACTTCTCTTTGACATGCTTTCTGAATGCCAGGCGTTTTCCAGCTTCAGTTATACRGGCACTTGGAAGTGTGTGTCTRTARGATGTCCCAAAGTCGATGCCTTTCSGAGCAGCATGGCCAGAACATTCCTGTTTTAAGTAAGAGCTGGTAGGAGCCACCGTCKTGTCGGAGAATGGGAATTTGAGGAGAGTGTGTAGGTAGCTCCTCTAGGATGCAAGGAAGTTCTTCTCAAGACAGTTTYGAGTCATGAATTTTCTTTAAAATAAGCATTAAGAAATTGTCCAGAAACTAGTATCTTCACTTTTTTAAATGTCTTTGCTTCTCCCAAATGAGTTGTCTAACCAAATTTTAACAAGTTTTTCCAGGAAAACTTGACTAATCCAGGAAACTTGACTTTCCAGGAAAACTAGTCTGACATAGAAGCTTTCCCGTGTAGCTTCAAGTGGATTGGTTTCAGACTGACAGTGTGGGATTCAAAAGCAGGCTCATAATGGGGCATATCTTTCCCAAGATCAAATTTAATCCAAGATCTGTGGAAAAAACAGGCATCTCTGTCTTGCAGTTTCTCTCAGCCCAGGCTAATAGTAACTGCCTCTGCTACTGAACAGCTGAGCCAAAAAAGCAAAAACACAAAAGCYAAAGACAAACCAAAAATACAAGAAGCAGTGACCAGACCAACAGAGAAAAAAAAATCCGTCCCACATACAAACCATTGCACTGATAGCTCACAGATGGGAATGTCTCTGCAGAAGTCAAAGTGTGAGCCATTGAATGGAATTTTATGGCAGGAGGTAGCTTCCCCAATGCTAAAACTTTCATTTTGGTTTCTTTGAGAAATTTCATAAGCATTTGGAGAAATTTTCAGCACCCCCAGCTCTGCAGACAATTTTGCTCCCACTCAGCTGCTGAATTTTAGTTCTCCAGTCATTAACACACCTGGGCACACACCTTATCTCAACTATTGATTCCTAGAAACAGAAAAGCACAAACTGCCTCAATAGGTCAAAGAAGCCAGAGATTATTTGTCCCACAGCTGCTTTATGTTGTGTAGAAGAGGGGCTAGTGATTTGTTACCTACTCCTGGCTGATCAGGAACRAGTGTGTTTTAATTCACCATCATTTCCTACATGTTCTCATGACAAAGCCTAGGAAGTCTTAGCTTGTGTAGATTATATCTAGAAACCTCTAGCTAAACAACACCCATAAACTGGAGTGGAGGTTGGCTAGTGTCCTCATTGGGCAATACTCAAAAAATAGGGAGAATTACTCTCCATCAGCTCTTCTACAATACTTCTGTCATAATGTATAATAAAAAGTGGCTAATAAGCATTTGTGCTGGCCCTGTGCTAATGTTAATCTTTTCAGATGCTCTCAGTTGGAAGATTCCTGACATATTTTGCTGGCTCTGCAAAGAGGGAAACCTCTCTGAGGAGGAGATGGCTCAGACGTTTAACTGTGGCATCGGGGCAGTGCTGGTTGTGCAGAAGGAGCTGGCTCAACACGTTCTCAAGGACATACAGAGGCACGAGGAAGCCTGGCTCATCGGCAGAGTGGTTGCCCCGTGTCACACAGGTTAGCAGGAGTTGTCCCTCCACAGGGAGACAAAAAGCTGTCCGAGGGGTACGGCTTCATGCAAAGTGTGAGACAGCTTCTCCTGTTCCCTCTTCAGAAGGGTTTCCACGAGGCCCATTGGGATGCACAAATGAAGTTGTTTGTCAGTGTAAGGCAAGTTGCTTTAGAGTGTGATTACGTAAAGAGCTGAGGGTTTCTTGGGAGGCACCAGTTGTCCTCAGTTCTGTGGGTGCCGCGTAGCGCCCTTCGCRCTGCAATTGCAAGGCTTGTGTAGCTCAGGTCGTTTCCATGCCCTTTCATTAGGGTGGCAACGTGTTGGCCCCCTTCACAATCTAGATTTCATTCGTAAAAGCAGAAGTGAATAAGTTCTTACCAGAATGATGTTGTTTGAACAGCGTCTTACCTAGGTATCTGCTTGAGACTGGAGTAGATCCCCCTGATGACTGCAGGTGGGACTCTAACATTGTTTAGTGGATTCTGTCGTGATTACACCATCACTGTAATGAGCCCACCTCCTTGGCAGGCCCTTTCCATAAATCTTGTGTAAAGATAAGGCTAGGCCAGAGTTGGGGATAGTCATATATGATGGTAAGTCTCTATCCTRTTAGGTCCACTGTCTGGCATTCTGCCAGACTCTAGTGAAAAGCCCTCTGGTCTCTGAACAGCTTGGGGAGCAGTTTGGGCAGCCAGAGGAAACCTCAGCTCTGTCAACATCATTTCAGTTTAGTTTTGCAATGTGAAAGAAGGAAGGCAGGTGTAAAAGATGGAGAGTCCTTGAAAAGCTGCTGCCATCCCCAGGTCCTTGCAGACATTCCTGCAAGTGAGCAGCACAAATGAGATGAGCACAACTACTTGTGTGAGTTGGTTTGAGTAGTAAACWTCTCTGTAGCCTTGCTAGCCTTGATGTAAAGTCATTGCTGATGAGTTTTCCTTTGATTGAAACTCCTCATTAGGGAGCAGAACAGAGCAGAAGGCTAAAATCTGAAGTATTTTACTTGTAACACTTTCCTCRCTTATTTGAAGGAGGTTCTCGCGTCAAAGTGGAAAATCTTCTTGAAGCTCTGCAGCTGAGCAGCCCCCAGCGTCCGCTGAACAACACTGATGTGGAGAGTCCACAGCAGCCCAGAAAGAGCAAGGTTAAAGTGGCTGTTCTCATCTCTGGAACAGGTGAGCTTGCGTGTTGCATCACACGGGACAACGTTCCCTCAAAGGAGAGGTTGGATTTAGCCCTGATGTAGCTACATCCACCTTCGCTTTTTTTTCAGTAGAGCCTGTGGAGCCTTCTAAAACCAGGGCTACGTTTGATCCAGAAGTCACAAAGATATCCTGTACTGCTTAATAAATGAGCATTCTTAGTGCACGAGTTCCTTAGTCCTCTTCCATTTGTCCAGTTGTTGAAACCAAGTGTGGGTTTTTTTTTTTTTTTTTTTTTGAGATATAAACAGAACTGAGAGCCATTTCTCTGTGACCTGAATGCTCATCTCTGTCATGCTTGTTTATTCTCTCCCTCTTGGAGGCACAAATCTTGCAGCCCTCATCAGTTATGCCAGGGAACCAGGCAGCTTTGCTGAAGTTGTCCTCGTCATCTCCAACAAATCTGGGGTAGAAGAGCTACGAAACGCGGCACGTGCTGGAATTCCCACCAGGGTAAAGGCACCCATTTCCTATCCTTTTTTTATCATCAACTCACACATACTGAATCTGTAGATCTTGATGAAAATCAGTATTCTTACATTCTGGTTCTACCAGTGCTTTGGGGTGGAGAATGTAGCCTATGCAGCCTACAAATCTAACAGAAATTGGTTAAATCTAACAGAAATTGGAGCAGAAATGCTCCTGGCTCTCTGAAACACATTAAGCCTCTTGGCTCCTGGGCCGATCCTTTCTTAGAAAGATTTTTCTTATGTTGTGCTCAGTCACTTTCAGTGGCGCCAAGTAAGTCTCACTGTCCTACCTTTGGTCAGTAAAGCAGCACTTTGTTATGGGAATTTGCAGGGATTTGTTTTGTARAGCAAAACTGCAGAAAGAAAATCACACCGTATCATTGTATTTGGCAAAGGTGGGACACGCAGAACTCACCTTTCTGACACTTAGAGATTTTGGACAGTTTTCATTTGTGTGGCTCTGCTCAATGGGAATGAGTGTGGTTAGAGTCTCCKTGGGCACAGAAAAGTTTTCTGCAAAAAGAGCTGAGTTGGATACACGGTACATTGGTTTTCTGACAGTATAAAGACTTAGCTTTGGAAAAGGAAAAAAAAAAAAGGTAGGTTATGTGAAAATTCATTCACAGTTTTCACAGGCGAGAGCGTGACAGCTTTGTTATCCCCTTCCATGAATATCTCTGTGAAGAGAGTCAGGAATCAACACTTACCTTGGGGGCCTCAGCTAAGGGAAGGAGTAGAAAAGAAACAAGACTCAACTCCTGTCACTACAGAGAGCGTCTGAGCAGTTTGTTRTCTCTTTAGATTTTAATTGGCAAAATTTTGTGAATATTAAAGATTTCATGAATTTCAGCAAGCAATTGTATAAGGGCTGGCAGTCACATTGTTGAGACGTTASCATTTTACATTAATCTTTGGCCAGCCAATCTGGAGCTCAGTGTCTTCTCCAGTGTTGCCTCTCATTTCCCACCTCCCCACCGGGAAAAGCTGCACTGCCCGTGTGTTTCTCTCTTCATACTTGGCTTCTTTCCATTCAGACTTTCTACATGTACYAGAAAACATCATGTGCAGGACAGCCTGTGTTAGTTAGCATGCGATTTGGGTGTTCCCAGGAATATTTATACGAATGTTATATGAACATATACATGTGTTGTATAAATAACATACAAACTTACAGCTCTTGAAATCCTAAGGGGTCCTGGAATTCCTGTTTTCTATTTATTGCCCATGCAGCTGCTGCCATTTGCATAAAGTTACTTTCCTTGATAGGGCTTTTGTTGCGTTTCAATGTTTTAGGTGATCGATCATAAGCTGTACGGGAGCCGCTCTGAATTTGACAGCACAATTGACCACGTTCTTGAGGAATTCTCTGTTGAACTGATATGTCTTTCRGGATTCATGAGAATTTTGTCCAGCCCTTTTCTCAGAAAATGGAAAGGTAAGAAATTAAAATGCTCTAAGGGAGAAAGGAGAACACAGAAACTTAGTCTAGGGAGAAAGGAGGACGCAGACACTTGATCTTGCCAGAAGTGCACAGCAGTATTTCTTAATCTCTCGGATAAGGCTCTCCCAGTCTTCGCTGACACTGAGTAAGAGTCTCTGCCTCTGGTAGCATGTGGGTCAGTGGGGCTTTGCCGCAGCCAGTGGGACTGTGCGAGGAGTCTGGCTGTGCCCTGGCACAGGGACAATCCGTGCTGGCAGGACGAGGGAAAATCCCCCGTGAAGCAGCGCACGGCGCAGCGGGGCCTTGGCCGCGTTGCCACAGGGCTGCCCCACGCTGGGCACCGCGCTGGTCCTCCAGCCCTGCTCATGAGYGGCTCGCTGCGCACGCGCGCGGCGCCTGGACACGCTCCCCGGGGAGCCGTGTTCCCGGAGAAACCCCCTCCATGCGCGCAGCGCGGGGCCCAGGCCTGCGGCGCGGGGCCGTGACGCCTCCTCGCGTCTCCTCCGAGGCCTCCGCGCTGCTTGGGCTTGGCCTTGTTAAGCCGAGCGGGCTCTGTTCTGCTCGGAGTGCTGCAGGGACCGTTTGAACTCCTTGAGTGGTGCCAGATGCTGTTGTTCTGAACAGATGATAACATCTCACTTTTATTTCTAAAGGAAATTCAGTTCAAATAGGTTTTTTTTTTTTTTTCCCCTCCTACTCAACTGACGCCTAGGGAAAATTTTGAATGCTTCCCCATCGCTTTTCCCAGCAAACAAAGGTGGAAATGCCCAGCAGCAAGGCCTGCAACCGGGCCTCAAAGTCACCGGCTGCACAGTGCATTTTGTCCTGGTAAGTGTCCTCTGGCCTAATGGTGTGCAAGTTATGAGGAGTTTTTCCTTTCCATTTGGAACGCAGAAGCAAGAAGCGTTCAGAAGGAGTGTGGGTGCAAGTCCTGGGAAGGCTCCCAGTAGAAATAGGAAGGTGTGGGAGTTGCACTTCATTTGGAAAGGCAGCTTGGGCCGGGGTGGCTGAACATGAGGCCGGGCCGGCAGCACCAGGGAAGCCTCCTCTGCTCCGTGTCCAGTCAGGGGAGGCCCATGGAGGCCGGGCCTCTTCCTGCCCTTTGGCTGGTGCTGTTTCTGACCGCCTGCCCCGCTGCTTGGGGCTCCCCGAGGTGCCCTCTTGTCCCGCCGCGCTGCCGCCGCTCCCGGGGCCCTCCTGCCCCTCTGCACGTGCCAGCCCATCGCCCTGCCCTGCTCTGTGGAGGCAGGTCCTGCTCGCAGCCTCCTGCCCGCAGCTGCTCTCGCTGACGTTTCTCATGGGCTCCATCCCTAACCTTCCTGACGCCGTTGAAGGCCTGTCCTAAGAGACTCTCGATTTTCTCCGTTTTAGGAGGAATCTAGTCCCAAAGCAGTGATCCACCAGGAGCCCGTGGCTGTGAAGGCGGATGACACCGAGGAGACCCTGTCGGAGAGGGTGAAGGAAGCCGAGTGCCGGGCTTTTCCCATTGCCCTGCAGCTGGTGGCCAGCGGGGCCGTGCGCCTGGGAGCGGGCGGCAGAACCTGCTGGAAACGGCAGGGCCAAAGCCCGTGTCCCTGGCACGAGGAGAGCGCCGGCGCCTCCTCTCGCCTGGCCCCGGAGCCAGGAGGCGACACCTCCATGTAGCTGGCTCTTTCCCTCCTCCTCTGTGCCCTGGAAGTGCTTCCCTTTGGCATGGCATGTGTGAGAGCCACGTGTTGGCATCCCGAGCCGCCACCTGTGTCCCGTCGCTTACGGGGTTAGTTACGCTGCGCCTGCAAAACTGCCCGYGGACGCCAAGCTGTCCTTTCAGATTTTGGATTTGTTTGTCCCTTTTTTTTTTTTTTTTTTTTTGGTGGAGAAAGGAGATATTGTGTTGCAAATCAAAGAGGGCAGCGGGGAGTTAAGCTGGTGAGACAGCCTAGTGCTTCTGAGGGAAAGGAATTCTTTTGAAGGATCTGTACATGGTGGCCGTGTCGTGGTGCAGAGCTGCACCCTGCGCTCTACAAAGCAACCCCAACGTGGACCTGCTGCTGCAAGAGGGTGACCCCTTCCCTCCCTCCTTCCTTCCTTCCTTCCTTCCTTGGCCACACAAGTCAGGGCAGGCCCTGGGCCCAGCCTGGCACAAGGAGGGCACCGAATGGGCCTTTGGGAGACCCGTGTAGGTCTGGGAAGAGATGGGAGCCCTCGAGGAGCTTGTCCTTGTGGGCCCATCGCTGTGGGCGCTCCTCAGGGCACGGAGGGGAGGCGGACGTGTGCGCACGTGCCAGCCTCAGCGCCAGCCTCCTCAGGAGGAGACGGTAACGAGTTTYGTTGGAAGAGAGCACGTGGCGGCGGCGCAAGCCACGGAAGAGCCAAGGAGGTTTTGTGGGCAAGAGGCCCTGCTGCTCCCGTTTCCCGGGGCCTGGCCCGTGCCCGCCACCCTGGGCCCTATCCGGAGCCCTTGAGGGCGTCCCTCGCCTCCCCGAGGCCGGAGGCCGCCCGGGCCTCGGCGGTGGCGCCGAGGGGAGGCCCATGGGGTGGGTGCGGGAGCGCCGGGCCCCACGGCAGCCCTGGGCAGCGCGGCGGGACCGCGCAGCGCTTGCGGCCCCGATCCCGCTGGCTCCGGCAGCGCGCGCGGCCGTCGCTCCCGGGAGGGCCCGTGGGGCAGGCGCTGGGCAGCGACTGAGCCCTCGCTTGGAGCGGCGGCCCCTGCGCCCCGCGAGCCCCCAGAGCTGCTGCTGCGGCTGGCTCTGCGCTCTGGCGCGGCTCTTGGCGTATCCCGGAATCCCGGAGTTCAGTGTCAGACCTTCGGGATCTTGAGATGGGGAAAAGCGGTGAGAGGGACTGGGAACAGCACGCTTTCCAGATTACAGGCCGGACTAGGAACACGCTTTCCAGATTACAGGCCTTTTCCTTCTTCATCCTGGAACCCAGCAGAAGGAGACGTGCCCAGCCTGATCTGCAGTGACAGGAATTTCCATTTTCCCTGTGTTGACTGACGGCCTAACCCAGAGAGCCACTGCCTTTAAAGAAGACCTTTATTTTGTGGGAGGCTTGTTTTATACCTGCCAGAATAACGCCCTGCCTGCAAGCAACACACGTCAGGGGAAGAAAGCSAGCCTGGAAGCTGAACAAACTATCGAGGAGTAACTGGAGAGGAATTTTTCCAGGGGATGGTTCGCTAGTAGCCACTAGATCCAGTGCACAAATGTATTCCTGTTTCGGAATTGAATTACAAATAGTGTACTGGTAAGAGGCACACTGTGTATCTGGCCCTTGGCTGTATCAAGCGCTTTGAAAGCATGAGTCAGCTCCAACAAGAAAGCTTAAAATTCCCATGTTCTCACACATGGATACTGGTTCCTGTCTTACTAGTTCAGGAGAAGTTAAAACCCCTGCTGCCTCTCATGGGCTCTGCCGTTTGTGCACAGCGGTCTGGGCTTGTGCTTTGCACTGCAGTGACTGCAGCAAAGAACACGCATTTTCACAAGGATGTTGGGGCATCGGGAGGAACCGTCGCAAGGAGAGACGGACAAATGTTTGGGCACCATCTGTGAGATAAACACATTGCTGCTTTTGCTCTTGGTCTGCTGTAACCGCGTAGTACCTTCACGCTGTATCATTCTTGGAGCTGCACAGCATGATGGATTGCTCCAAGCCCAACCAATAAAAGGTTAAGCGAGCCCTGGGTGGTGGTGGTTGTGCTCTGATGGTCTCCACACATCACTGTGGCCTCAACTGTGACCCACGGCCTTCCCAGCGCCCTGGCAAGCTGCGTGTGGGGGGAGCCACACGCTCCGCTCCRCTTCCAGGCTGCTCCCTGCGCTAGGGCAGTCTCAGGTCTGTGTTGRAGTGACCTTTCTCTCCAGGTGTTCGTGTAAATGCTCCTAGGGGACCGAATCACATTTACCCTCAGTGACAACGGGGGACAGGAACGCTCCGGCGGCAGGCGGCTTCCTGAGGGACCATCCTCCATCCGCAGGGACCACAGGGATGGGGAGGGCCCCGCRCTCCGGGCACTGCGTGACAGGCAGCCGGGCTGACGTGGTGTCTCCCAGGCTCCGGCCTCACCTCACACCTCAGGGGCGGGAATTCCAAGGAAATACTACGGAACACGCTCAGAGGTTTGAATTTTACCAGGCTTTATTTCAAGTCCCGTTGGAGGTCGCTGCACTACAGAAATACTGTATGGACACGAGGACGGAACCAGCTCTCTGTGTCAAACAGGGCTTCTAACACACACTGATCAGCTTCAGTCGCACGCTTCGGGTTCGTATGGGGCAAAGAGAYGGTTTTGGAAATGCATTGAAGTATTTTCACAGCTATGCCAAAATATTAAAGGAAAAATCAAGTGTTTTTGACATGAGTTCAGCTGTGTAGAAAGCTCAAAGAAATGTTTCAGAATTACTGCATTTCCTGGGTTTTCCTTACTGTTATTCCAGGGGAAAATGCTTTTTCCGCAGTATCTAACTTCCTCAGGCTTTGTCCCACAGGAAGGCCTGCGGCTGCCACCTCCGTTTACCGCTTCCCTGAATTATCCTTGCAAACACTTGAGAGCCCACGACCAGGGTCCAAGTCACACAGCCAATGCAGGGAGTTGTACCGATATTCCTGCGTCAGCCTCGGAGACGCTCAGATCTCTGCCACCAACGGAACGGGTTTTGCTCCTGCAAGCGACTGAGAACTGAAACGCTGGCCGAGAGAGTGGTGATAATTGGGAACCCGGCAAAGGAGCCATAGCCGAGAGTGCTGGGGCGGTCCCCTGCCCGCTGTCCCCACGGGTGCCTCCCTCTAGGTTTTACTTTGAGTCTTGAAGCACKGGAACAAGATCAGGACACCGTTTAAAACCCAAACAGTTTAAAACACTTTGTGAAGYGACGTCTGTGTGCGCGTTCGGCCGGGCGACCCGCCTCCGTCAATCCCTTCCTGCCCCTTGTCCCACGTGGGCACCCTGGCCGGGCTGCTGCTCCTCCTTCCAGCAGATCTTGCCGTCGCGGCCGACGCGGACGGCGCCGCTGGCCACGAGCTGCAGGGCGGCGGGGAAGGCCCGGTGCTCGGCCTCCTTCACGCGCTCCGCCAGCGACTGCTCCGTGTCGCCGGCCCGCACGGGCACCGCCTCTTGGAAAACGATAGCGCCAGCATCCACCTCCTCCTGGGAAAAGCACGGAGAATGGGGAGACGGGATACAGGGCAGTTAACAACATACAGTCGCCCCACGGATCCATTTGCCATTCCTGGACGCCGGGAAAGGGCAAGTGGGGCAGGAGAGGTGCGGACGCACGCACGGGTCTGTGAGGAGCTGCTGGGAGGGAAGTTTCCCATGGAAAGGCGGAGGAGCTGGGCAGGACAGCCCAGCGTCTAACATTTCTGCTGTAGAAGCAGCAGAATTCGTGCCAGCGGAGAGCACGAGGGGCTAAGCTGGACCGAGTGCTGACGTCTTCACTCAGCCCAGCGAATTCGGCAGCTCTGGCAAAGCCTCCTCTGCCTCCTAACAAGGCCGAGCCCGGCTGCTTCCCTACTGCCTCTCATGTAGTGAGGAACCCCCCAGGTCACACTGCAGAGAAAGGAATGTAGTTTTTCCATCTTGAAAAACACCCTTTTCTTCTCTTTTTCCAAGAGTTAACTACAGTAACACTCAAACTCCTGCCTAGACGATTCATTTCCAGTTCTCCTACAAGGGCAGCAAACTAGAGCACCCTTTTGTCAAGGTGAACCTGATTAATTTATAGACAACAACAAAGGGGAAAGTACATGAAACATGACAGCATAAGGTGCTCCAAACAAGCTTTGAGGTGAACATTTTTATGACCCATTGACTCTAAGGAGARAGAAAAAAGCACTTACAGCTACAAAGTGTACAGTACAGCCTGTGACTCGGACTCCGGCTTCTAACACCAACTTGTGGGCATTTGCTCCCTTAAAAGAAGGCAGTAGGGAGGGGTGGATGTTCAGGATTTTCCCTAGAAAAGAATAAATGAGGTCAATGCCTTTACCAGGGTGTTTGAAGTATGCCAGTCATAAGAGAACAAATTACAGCGCTGATCTTTGTTAACATGAGAGTGAGCACGTGGGGAAATCAGTGCACAGATAACCAGAGCAAACAGATGAGGTTTCTGCTAAGAGCTGGTCTAAGTATCCCTGCCCATTCCCTGGGGAGAGCAGCCCCTGAAGGAGGCTGAGCTGCTACAGCCTCCAGCAAGGACACGGAAAACTTGCACGGGRTGACCAGAACTGAGACCCTGTGAGCATTCCAGAGAGGCAGGAGCGGAATCTCCTCCCAGAGGCCACCCCCAGCTCTGCAGAGCTCCTGGGATCCCATTGGCAGGACCTGCACATCACATAATCCCAGATCGGTTGAGGTTGGAAGGGCCCTCTAGGGATCATCCAGGCCAACCCCCCTGCTCCAGCAGGGACACCCAGAGCACGGGGTCACATCCCTGCCTGCTTCTGCACTGCCACGTGCAGCCGACGGAGCGCATCTCTTAGAGGAAGGGCTCCTCCGTGGCTGGGTGCCCACCTGCCCACCAGCAGCCTTTACGGATACAGCAGCCATTTCCCAAATTGCCCTGGGGGTTTGTAGAAGTCAAAAATGTTTGCACCTCATTTGATGTGTTTTCTAATAAATGGAAGATCCCAAGAGCTGCTTTTGCCCTTGCCTTCCCRCTAAAGGGAAGGGCAAGTTAGTGTCTTGCCTTTTCCCATCCCTATCCTTGCAGCTTCCTCCAAACACAGAATCCATATGGCTCCTATTCTACAGTATTGTCCATTTTCTCCTTTCTGAGAGTGAGTAATAAGTGACTTTTTTATGCCTACACTAATAGAGCTGTGCTTACCATCCCATTTTTTGACAAAGGGACCAGACAGTATCCGCATGAATCCAGCAAGGCAGATCAGTTCAACGGAGAATTCTTCAAGGACTTTGTCAACTGCTTTGTCAAATTCAACGCGACTTTCAAACAATTTATGGTCAATAACCTATGATAATCCCAAAAAGGAAGAAATATGGACAGGGGTTAATTTAATTTCAGGGTCTTAAGAACACAGTGAAATGGTACATTGGAGTAATAAGCAAGAAACAACTTTATCTCCACGGGTATCCAGTGTGGGATGCACACACAGAACAACCTGAGCAGTTCATAAATCCACACACCAGCAGACAAACCTGCAATTTTTATTCACATTAGCACAGAAGAGATACGAAAATAAGTAAGAGTTTTATCTGATTGGGCCCATAATTTTAGGCCAAACATTTGGGCACAACTGAACAACCTACAAATACAAGAGGCTCTTAAGCTAAAGTCTTAGAAGGATTTCACGCAATTTAAGATTTCTAACTGTTTTAAATAGTTTGAACCACCTAAGTTTAAAGGATAAAACAACCTTAGCTGTACAAAGTCAATATAAGCAAGTTCTGTATTTTCCATCCAGTATACATTCCCACCTTTAAACAGGAATAAGGTAACATTACTTACTTTAAATATGCCTAGCCTTTAAATAAAAGTATCTGTTAATCTCTACAAGCTTTACCACATTGGCAACACTTAAATATCACAAAACAGTTTTGGAAAAGGGGAGCTGGCAGCAAACATGGCAGAGGGCAYTGGAAATAGAGCCTAGCTCAACACTAGGCTCAAGTCTCCCATGAACTACTCTGCTACGGACATTTCAAAGGCCAAATCTTCCACCTAATTTTTAGTTATCCAAGAAAAGCAAGTGTAAAATGATCCTAAACAGAACTGTAGCATTTCATGTGTGAAATGCAAATAGTTACACAGAGGGCAGGGCAATATCAGACTGGATCCGGTGACAGGAAGGGAAAATAGGGCTTGCCTTGAAGTTATCCTGGATGATAAAGATGAGTTGCGAGTGTTGCACCTGACCCTCTCGTTCAATCCAAATGAACTACTGTGTATGTTTAGCATGTAATTTTAAATTTAAATTCAGATAAAATGTATTGTTACATAGGCACCACACTTAATTAAATGACTCRTTTTAAACTAACTGTAGAAGTTGGTTTAATATAAGGACTGATCCTAAACCCATGAGGATTGCAAGTAACGTTTCTGAGGGAAAGGGAGCACTTAGTTTCCATGTTAGTAGTTTGCCCAAGGACACAAAGCTCACAGCAGATCAAAAACACCACCCAAAGCACCCACSAGACCTCTTTCCAAAGCATCTCCCACCCTAGTAACTCTTGCTATCTCACAATAGCTTAGTGCTTGTAATCAGAGCTAATGAAGGCTAATTTTTAGAAGGTGAGCAGTACTTACCCTTGTAGGAATCCCAGCCCTTTCAGCTTTCCTTAGCCCTTCCACGCCAGCTTTATTGGAAACAACAAGAACTATTTGTGCAAAACTGGTGGGCTTCTTTGTGCTATTTATGAGAGCTTCCAGGTTTGTGCCTATGAGTGAAATAGGAAGTCATGAGTAGCAGTTCATTCTTGGAAAATAAATACAACTTTTGAGTAAGCAACAAGGAAGGTGAGACCCAATCCAAAAAAACAAAAAAAAAATCTGTAACAACAGTGATCCTGTTTTTCATTGATCTTTCTGAAAACTAAATTTGATACCTTGAAGCTCTGTGAGACCTACAAGCCTTTCACTAGCAGTAACATTTGTAAACTGCAATTCTGGAATAGAAGTTACAGGCTCCTTCTTACAAGTGAAACTGTTAGAAACCCTGAGAGTGCCTGCATGGCAAGAGGAAATTCWGGTCTGTTAGTAAGATAATTCTGCTATAACCCAACAAAGCAGTTGCTTGAAGCCAGAGACATGCTGAAAACAGTAGTTAGCTGAACACAGATACAACTCATAGTCAATTTGCAGCTACAAGTTGAAGATCATTCTGGTTCTGATTGAAATTAACCCAAGGGCAAAATTCTCTCTGCCTGTTACTGAGTGCTAAAAGCCTGTAGAAAGTTCCTGAAAGTCTTTGTGCAGACTTGCAAGGACTCTGGGGGATTTTGATTCTGAGCTGAAGCCCCATTTTCCCTGGGCTGAGTCGTACACTGTAGTGAGGAATCTAAACCCTCACCTGTTCCGGAGATGAGGACAGCAACCTTCACTTTGTTTGCCTGGATTTTGCTTTGGATTGGGCTCTGCACCGTCAGTGACGCATTGGCTTGCAAGGCTTGAAGCAGATTCTGGACCTTAACATTGGCASAGCCTGAATGCACAGGGTGGGAAAAAGAAAAAACACGTTTAAATAAAGGGAGAAATAGAGAGGACAGAAAAATATCCAGGAAAAGACAAGCAGGTGGCACTGCCCTACTTCTTGTTATTTACTTACAGTCAGGTGACACCTGACATATTCTATAGACTAAGCCAGAAGTCTCCAGGACTGTCACTTTAATACTTGATGCACGAAAGCCACAGAGGTGCCAACTGCTGGAGAGCCACCAGCTAGGAACTTTAGCTTTATATTTCAAAGAAAATGAAAATCCAGTAACCTTTTTGTAGGGAGACAACTTTCCCAATCAACCAGGCTGCCTCGTGTCTCTGAACGTCCTTGAGGACCTGCTGGGCCAGCTCCTTCTGCACCACCAGGACCGCGCCAATCCCGCAATTGAACGTCCGAGCCATCTCCTCCTCAGACAGATTCCCTTCTTTATGGAGCCAGCTAAAGATTTCAGGGATCTTCCAGCTAAGAGCATCTGGGGAGAATTCAAAATACAAGTGAAGAGTGAAAATCACCACCTATCACTACCACTACAAATACTAAAATTACCRGAGTGTCGAGAGAGAAGATTTGGATGCAAACACAGACTGTTAATCCCACGGCAACATGAGCTTCAGCTAAGCCTGTTTCCATGCATGAAAACAAGATGTCTCTCCCTCCTATACTAAGCAAGACTTGGGAGTAGAAAGAACATGAGACTTCTCATGGAAGAAATGAATCACATGGCTCCACTGCAGTCCATTAAGGAGCAATTCCGAAAGGGCTCTGAAGCTGTCTTGGAAAAATCCTCTTTATGAAGTTGGGAACTCTGCCTGTAGAGAAACTATTGTATAAAAAGGACAGCCTTAACTCTCACAATAAGGAGCTTTTCTCCCAGTTCTAGCAAGGTAAGGAAGGGCRAAAGCAGCATGAGGGATACCTCAGGACAAGACAGTGTAATGGAACCCCAAATACAGAAACTTCTTTCTTGTGGTATTAATCTCTATTTTATATGTGAGTATCCACTGTGGATACTTGTGGACCCCTGTCTAATTGACAGCTGGAAATATGATTTACTATTTGAAGCACAGGACTTGATAGAAATTCCCTTATTTTATTCTACAACACAGTGAACACCGTAAAACCTATAGCAGATCACTYAACTTTCCACATTGACCTTTCCTGAGGAAGTATTTTAAAACTACCTGATGAGGTTGTGGCGAGGATTAATTAGAGCATGCGAAATACCTTGATACCCTCATAACTTGTGGGCTATCAACTGTATCTGAATGCCAGTCAAAGACTTGGGTGAGTGGGACTTAAATAGCAATAACCTTGCAGGTTATTGCAAATGGTGCCGTTTGTCTTTATTTTGAAAGTACAGATATAGGTTCCTGACAAATCCAACCCGCCACCCTGACAGAGGAAGTGACTGTGAAATCAGAAGCCTGCCACAGATTGTGAAAGGCTTCAGCTGGGTCTGATTCAGGCACCAGGAGATTTGCAGTAATACAGAAGCAGAAAGCACTGWTTTCTAGACAGACAAGTCCAGCTCTCGCAGTAGAAGTCAGTTCATGCGGCCCGATGTACCCGGGCTTCCACATCCAGCCCCGTTAACAGGGGGGTGTTTGTACAGCGTCCCTTCCYGGATCTCACCTAAAACGACGCCCAGTGACTCTGGCAGGACTCTGGGGATGTTTTCTAGCAAGCCCCCGCCAGTGATGTGGGCATAGGCCTTCACGTGGCCCGAGCGGAGGACGGGCAGCAGAGTCTTACTGTAGATCCTCGTCGGGGTTAGCAGGAGCTCTCCTGTAATGAAAGAAGATTAAAAAAAAAAAAAAGCCAGTTACGATCCAGAAAAATAAATTTAATATCAAATGAAGGAAATCTCAAAATATTCATTTACTGGACAGTATTGGGCAAACATTGTATTACAGAGAAAAAAGACTATGTTCTACTTGCAGCTTAAAACTAGCCATTTATTTCTTCCCTCCCTAATTTCCTTCTGCCATATTTGATTCATATGAAGAAGGAAGATGGGAGCATGTTCAAGAACAGAATAGTTTTCCAGTGCCTTAGAAAGCTTACAAAAACAAAGCCACAGACCAAACAAGTGTGTTGTTCTCCCGCTCAGAAGTTCAAGGGAAGAAACTGCATTAGAGAGGGTACCTAATGTCTGATCACCAGCGACGCCAACCAGGGAGGAGAAATCCAATGATGACTTTTCCACAATCTTCCTTACGAGGCTAAATCCGTTGCTGTGGACGCCGGAGGAAGCGACTCCGATAACCGCGTCCCCGTCAGCAATCCTGTCCAGCTGGGGCAGCATCTGCCCGCGCTCCACTGCGCCGACGGCAAAGCCCGCCAGGTCGTACTCGCCGGGCAGATACATGCCCGGCATTTCCGCAGTTTCGCCTCCTGTACGAGCCACARGAGGAAAGGAGAAGGTGAGGTGATGTTGGGAAACTATTGGGGTTAATGYGCGGGTGATTTTTGAAGAGGGAATGATGAAGGGGAATGTAGGGAAGAAGGGGCCAAGCTCTTCTCAGTGGTGGCCAGTGACAGGACAAGGGGCAATGGGTACAAGTTGAAACACAGGAGGTTCCATCTCCATGTGAGGAGGAACTTCTTTCCTGTGAGGGTGCCAGAGCCCTGGCACAGGCTGCCCAGGGAGGCTGTGGAGTCTCCTTCTCTGGAGATCTTCCAAACCCTCCTGGATGCCGCCCTGTGCCCCGTGCTCTGGGTGTCCCTGCTGGAGCAGGGGGTTGGACTGGATGATCTCTAGAGGTCCCTTCCAACCTCAACCATCCCGTGACTCTGTGTGAGTCTGTGATTCTGTGATTCTCAAAGCATCAGACCTGTAAGGAGTCAAGGGACTGGATTTTTTGAGTAGATATACAATCTCTAAAAATATTTAAAATCACACACCCATGACACGGCCTTTAAGCAAACAGGCAAGAGTGAAATGGGAAAAAAACATTTCCTCCTCCACTGTAACAAGCACTATCAAATTACTGTGCATCTATGTGCATCCAAATTACTGTGAATCCAAGAGGATTTTTTTTTTTTTTGAAGGATTTTGATGTTGATCAAATATTATGGCTTCTGTCCTAGGAAATATCTGAGCCTGAAGACTGACCTAAAACTTCATGCTCTGGAGGTAAGCATGATCCGTGCCTTTAAAATGAAAGCATTTATGTAGTGCTTTACACTTTCAAATTTCTACCAAGCTCAATGCTCTCCACGAGAAACCTACAAGACACAAGAAACTCAYCCAAAAATGCCAGAGAAATCAAACAGTTAATAGTCTCTGCTGTCTTCATAAAGAGTTGGTGCACAGCCTCATGCTGCCTGCTCCTCATGTCCACACCTGGGCATCATTATTGCTACAGGTCTCAACACCTAAGGCTTGGAGGCTGTTTTGGCAGAACTCCTCTAAAATCAGAGGGCCTTTCCTACCCATGCTGCTGAACCTGCTGTTTAAGCTCTCATCTGTTGTCTTCATTATAAGGACGCAATCTTGTTTTGTCCTGAGGAACCTGTTTTGTCTAGAATCAGTGGTTTCAAGGGGTAATTTCCCTAGTTTGTGTAGGAGTGTGTAACAGTGCTTGGAGAGCCCTCTCTATCCCTCCCTGTGCAGCCAGCACCGGCTCCCTTTCTTTATCGGAGCAGACACAAGCTGAGGGCCTTCACTTTCCAGGACCTCTGTTCTACCTGCCAGGCCTCATTCTGCCTCCAGAGGGGAACTTGCTGGGGTTGCCAAACGAAACCAGCCTTGGCTGCTCACTCCAAACTCTTTCCAGACAGACATTTTCACGCTCTCGTACCCAAAAGGAAGCCCCCCAGCCAGCCCCAAAGCCACATCAAGATTCTCCTGATTCCCTGCTGGTCATCATGCCTACGAGAAACATCTTGAGAACAATTAAGCTGCCCTTAATTTACCTCTTCCCATCATGACCAGTGCTGTCTTGTTTTCCCAAGTCACTCACCAGGCTTAATTAAATACAGAATTCCTCTATTTATTAAAAAAAAAAAAAAAAAAGTCTCCACAGACGGCTCCAGATTCACCTGAGTAACCTTGGAAGCTGCTTTTGTGCTCAGTGCTCGAATAAAGATCCACTCTTCAGAAGCTTTTCCGGATTTCTACATTGCTATAACAAACTTTGRTTTTAAAGTTCATACTAGAAGGTGGCACTTGCTCAGATATCTTGGTTTAAAACTCTCTCCAGGCACACTGGTGCAAGTCCAAGCATGGAGAAAAAGCCCTTCAGCACCTCGCTGCTGAGCACTGTGAGCTTATGGTGATTGAGCTGAATATTCTGCAAATCTWGGAGACAAATTTAGGAGCAAGCTTCAAACCAGACTTTGAGATGATACTATACAAAGAGAGACTTGCATGCTTTGCGTGCTGTGTCCGATATTGAAATTAATGCATTAAGCTGGAAACCAAACTGAAATCTATTCAAATGCTCCAGGCTACTGGAAAAAGGAAAAGGAAACGGAAAAGGAAAAGGGAAAAGGAAAAAAAGAGAAAGAGAAAGGAACGGAAAGGGAAAAAAAAACTTTTCCTCCTTATCCTCCTTATATCTGGAGTTATTGCATCATCTCCATTCTTTTCTGGGAGTGCCATAACTTTGAAGAACAATTCATAGTTGCTTTATTTATGAGGTCTGACTTTTTTTTTTTAATACTAGCACACAAAGACATTTACTACTCCATTTAAAATTTTGAGAAATAATTCTCTTGCAATGAATCTTGAAACATCCAAAGTCCTTTGTAGTTCTAAAGCTTTCCAATGGGTAATCAAATCTCAAAATTTCAGCATGTAATTTCATAGTAAGATAAAAAATAAAAGGTACTTATGTTGAAGTATGAATAGTTTGCTTATATTTGATAAAGCAAGAAAATGCTCTATAAATATAGAGCTGACATATATAAATATAGAGCTGGCAAATACAAAGCTGACATACAGTTCATTTAGGGAAAAGATAAAACAGAATCTAAGTTGCCTCTTGTTCAAATCCTGTAAAACTCTCTCAAAATTACACATTCCCATTTAAAAGAGAGTTTGTTAGTAAATTTTCTAAACAAGAAGAAAAAAAAAAAAGAGAGAAGGACAAAATTATACCAGTTTTAAAGTTTTAAACTGGTACCTAAAGAGTAAAAACTGACATTTTACTCTTGGCTGGCAAGTTTTATTTGAAAAATGGTGGTAGTTTTTCATCAGATAAACAACTTTGCTAAGAATGCTACTAATGAACCTGGTTTCCTTTACCCTGCTGCCTTGTGGTTACCTTTTATGTCTAAAGAAGCAAGTTTCAACTGAAACTTCTGCATTCATAAGGACATCCTCTGGCTATTTGGCTTCATAAAACTTGTGAGGACAGAGCATCTATGAGATTTTGTCCTTTCTTGTCAAATTTGGTTAAAATCAGCCAAGAAGTTAAAGAAATATGGATGCACATAGGGAGGCACACATGCACAGTAACACAAATACAAATTTCGTTYCCTGAGGAAAACTTTAGGATATGCTTCTGGATAACTCATAAAAAAAAACACTTTGGGAATGTTGTTTTCAAATTCACTCAAAAAACATAAAGATTTGAATACCTAAATTGTTATGTTTCCCGGGTAGTCATGTTTACAAAGCTAAATGAGAATATACAAATAAGAAAAGTAATATTGAGACGMCCGAGCCAATGGCAACATCTGTCAAGCACTGCCTTGTGTTCTCCGTCCCCAAAGGCAAAAATCACACAACCTTCTTTTTCACTCCTTGGAGTAAAAAAAAAGTAACAGAGCAGGCAGACCAGCACATCGGAGCTAGTTATAAAGAGGCTGCACACAAATGTTCACCCTGTTGAAAGCAAGAGAGCGTTCCTACCCAGGAGAGCACATCCCGCCTTCCTGCAGGCCTCAGCTACCCCTGCAAYGACTCCCTGCGCCACGTCCACGTCCAGCTTGCCACAGGCAAAATAGTCGAGGAAGAAGAGGGGCTCTGCCCCTTGGGCCAGGATGTCGTTGACGCACATGGCGACCAGGTCCTGGCCGATGGTGTCGTGTCTCCGGCAGGCCTGCGCGACCTGCCCAACACAGCGAGAGAAGCGGCCCGTGAGCTCTGCAAACCGGGGGGCATCCTCCCTTATCAGCACCCGTCCTCATCTGTAGGAACTGTCGCCTTCCCACGTGGCCACGGCAAAAGTCCCCCTTTGTGGAAGGGGGCTCAACAATGAGGCCCGTTGTAGTTTGCGTCAACACAGTGGCCAGTGTGTAATTTAATGTTTTCCCCACAAATGGTCATTTTGAAGATGGAGGTTCTACCTCAGTGAACTGGAGTCCCTGATTATGCACTTAGCGMTTGAAGTGAGTAATTTTAATAGCGAAGTGATTAATTTAAATTTCAAAGAGATGTGAAAGATGAAAGTTAAACATGTATTGATTTTGCTGAGCTGACTCCTGGAGGAGTTATTCTCCCTTTTGAAAAGCTAATGGGTATTTTTAAGCACAACTATTTTGAATTTTCGTCTCCTAATAACACAGGCATCAGAATGACTGGGTATTTTTGCTTCTCTGACAGGCATCTACCTTTACCCGGGTTTTGGGATTACCTTGAGTTTTGTGCCAACACCATCAGTTCCAGATACCAAGAGAGGATCCTTATAGCCAGCTGCTTTCAGGTCAAAGAGGCCAGCAAATCCCCCAAGCTCCGCGTTGCAACCTGCCAGATGGAGAAAGGAGGAAGTATTAAACTTCTGCTTTCATGGATTTCTCTAGGATCTCCAAAACRCTCGTGAAAGTCTCTTTGAAGTCCRTCACAATTACTTGGCTTTAGCACCAGGAAAGTTTTCTTTGACACTTAGAGCCTCATCACAGASCCACAGGAGCCCTAATCCTCTTGTCTGTTTTTTTGTTTTATTATTATTATTGCCTAAGGCTAAAAATCCAAAGCTTTGTGTTTGAACATTTAATAATTACTGTAATATATTTCCTGAATCCCATGACAATTTAACAAATACCTGGTATTCTAAATCCATCATAAGCATTACAAGGACTTGCTAGAGCAATGTGAACTGGAGACCACAGCAAAAGAGGAAGGGCTTGCCCTGTGTTTTCYAAGCCATCTTCTACGCCCATCTCAAGCATCTCTGAGGAATTCCACATATTTGAAAGCTTTTTAAATATTTATGCACCAAAATTGTGCGGCTTACGCTCTCTATGAGCTGATAACCCATGTAATCACAAATAACAGTAACGAGCAGGMTTTTATCTTGTATCGATCCCCTCAGTGCTGAACTGTGTTCTGTGAAGTCCTTAAGACACATGGAATTCAAGAGATCTATTTTAGAGCTATTTTGACAAGCAATTCTGTAAATTTAAGGAACTACATTTTGAAGAAATCAAGAGTGTTTGCTCAACCCCCCAAAATTCTTCTGTAATCTGGAAATCTKCAGAGAACGTAAATATAAGCATTTATGTCAATATAAAGATGAAATGATAAGTCCCCTTGGCATGAACTGACTGAATCAGGAATAAAAAGTACCAATCTTACCCGATCTTGAGGTGGCTGCAGCTAAGGGTTTAATTTTCTGAACCAAAGTATTCCCTGCTGCGATGTCTACCCCGCTGCTTTTGTAAGTCAGGCCTCTGAAAGATTAAAAATGTTACGGGCAATTGATTACTGAATACACAAATGTGTGCTCTAAAATAATATTTATTTTCTTGGACAACTAAGGGGATTAACCATTCAGAAGCCTATTCTGCTGTCAGCAAAGCTTTTCCAAGCTTTTCCTGTTTCCAAGAAGGCAAATGCACAGGAGGTAGCCGCTGTGCCCTGCTGCCCACAGAGCCACCCGCCCACCTTCCCGAAGCCYGAAGCCAAGCAGGCCCAGCCATCGGCTCCTCCCGTTCCAGGACACGTCCGAGCAAAAGCTGGCACAGCCTCAGGCACGGTGAAAGGGGCATTGACCGGGAACAGCTCCCAGGAGCCTCCTTCCCGTGCCCGGGACCGGCCCAGCACACGGCACCCCAGGCGGGAAGGCTGCCGACCAGGCCCCGTGAAGCCACTACTACCGACACCATGKGCCACGAAAGTCACAAAAGCTCCTTCTTCTCTTGCCTCACACCATCACTTCATTTTGTTCTTTTTTTTTCCTGCTACAGGTCAAATAACAGGTATCCGTTTCCACATACATTCTTCAAAAGATGAACAGTACTTGAAGGAGAAGGAAATTAGGTATTGACGCCCTTGTTCATTTAGTAAGTTTATTGCTCGCAGCTCTACAACATACTAATCAGGACACACCATCAGCAAAGCTGAAGCTCTTACTACTGTGCTTTACAGACTACAAAATAACCTATTATCAAAAGTCATCTTTTGAACTGATTGGAGAAAAAGCAAACATCTTTTATATTAGGTAAAAATAAGTTTCAAAACTTGCAAGCAGCTCATGAAAACATAGAGAAACGGAAGAAAACACTACATTAGGGAAAAAAAAAAAAGGAAATACAACCCAAGCCCTGTCAAAGCTGTTGAAAATTTTACTACAAAAATCAAAGGAATGATAAATTCTACCCAGGTTGCTAGCCAGCTATTCCATTATAATCCATGTCTCAGTGAGGTAGGTGTTTCAAAACCATTTTAAGGATCCTAAAATCAACTCCAAAAAAGATCAAATTTCATTCATACATATATTTCATGACATTATGATTAGCCTTAGACAATGTGGATTCAGAGCTAAGGTTAAGATTTATAGACTACGAATCAGAAGTTCTCCTTCCGAGAACAGACCTAACACAGAGAGCAAGAGCACAGGTTGCTCCCACATTTGTCACTGTAGCTTAGCTGAGACTTGGGAGTATCAGACCRTGGATGAAAGAGCCATCAAAAAGCCTGTTCCTTCCTTGGCTGCTCTTTCTTAGATCACTCACAAGGAGGACAGTTGTAATTTGTCTAGAGTTATGCAGAGTATTCATATCATTTTAGGGATTAATTAAGCTACTGATATCTGCCAGTCACCAGTTATTTCCCCTCCAAGCATTTCAAATATCTACCTGGAATGTCTCAGGAAAGCTATAGCCCGATAACCAATGTCCTTTCTATAAATGGCACCCTTGAACTGTATGGCTGCTACTCCTTTGTTGGCTTCTTGCAGTGCCAGCATCAGATCCTCTTTAATAGCAGTTACTGTGAGGACTCTTCCTCCATTAGTCACCACTTTGCCATTCGTGAGGGCTGTGCCAGCATGGAAAACCTCCAATCCCAGTTGTTTAGCCTTAGGAAGCCCTGCGATTGTTGTTCAATAACACAAATGCAAGAAAAAAAAATAGTTCATTAGAACATTTCACTGATAAAATACAATTGAGTAACTCATGAAGGAATGTTCAATGTTAAAATACAAATGAAGAACTCATCACGTAGGAATTATGCCCAGAAACCCCAGGCAAATTCACTGTGGTCATTCCAGGTCATCAGAACAACTTTTAAAAAGTACATTTTGTGGGAGACCAGCCTATTGCTTATATGCTTAGACATATGGAAAGCTGAAACATATTTAGCTGAAACACCTGCATACAACATTTATTTCCATCTGGATTTTATACTTCACTGATATAAAGACAACAACCCTAAGAATATCAAAATTATGARTAATCAGTGATCATTTTAGAACTACTTCACTGTAACACATATTAAGGAAATGCTATGAAATTAAAAATTAGGGATGTGGAGATCTGAAAATGCTATGGGTGCATTACAAATTAACTTTTTAGTGTGAAAATCAGTCGTCTCTTTCTGACCCAGAACAGCAGCTTCAAAAGTTTCTAAGAATCAGGATTAGACAAATTCAGCTTTATGAGAATGAGAAAATGAGAAATGAAAAAACTATTTTTCATTTTTCATATTTCATATTTCATTTTTCATAATTTTCACTATTTTTCATATATTCATCAGAGGAATAAGACTTCTACAGCTTCTCCTGCTGTATTTACCTGTAATTTCCAAACCCTTGGGATATGATCCCGGATACCCTTCACTAGCCATGACCACAGTCACAGCTGCACTGTCTTCAAACCAAACAGGCATGGAACTAGACAACTTTCTATCGATGACTGCTTGCATAACGTCATACAAATCACTTTTCAACAGTGGAAGAAGTACCTACAAAAATACAGATTAGCCAAATAAGTAAAATAACACCTTTTTCCCACATGTTTTTTATATAGCATTTTAAAAGATTAATGCAGATATAAAAATAAGTATTTTCATATGCTGCATTGTCACACACATTATCATTGTCACACTCTGCACATTATCTGCCTTTACAAATACTGTTCCTTAAAGATAATAATCCCTATGGGTAAAGGTACTGCTGCAGATGGAGGAGAACAAGTAGACACCAAAAATCTTTACAGTGTTCCGAAGAAAGGTAGGGAAAGGGTTTGCCTCACCTATCAGCAGGGAGTGGGGAAGGAAGGTTCATTTCTTTAATTAAAAAAAAAAAAAGGTCATTCTAAAAAAGGTATGAAAGTACTGAGTTTCACTCAAGCTTACCTATGTGACACCCATCTTTGAATATAACATGCTAAATTTTGTTGTGGAATGAAACAAGTAATTAATATGATAGAGTAACTCTTGTTAAGTTAATAACAGAGTGTCTGTCTTGAAAAAAGAGGGTAAGATTTTCAAATCTAAAAGCAATGAGGTTATTGTTCATCGCACAGTTTGTTAAGAATACTGATAGAGAGCAACAGACTTTTCTACTCCCATAATAACAAACTATATCTGGTTACAAATCACTCACCTGACATTCTGGGTCACCAAATCTGCAGTTAAATTCTAAAACTTTAGGTCCATCCCGGGTAAGCATTAATCCAGCATAAAGCACACCTATAAACAGAAGCAGTATTAAAAGCTATCTAAGTAGCTGTACAAGTCAGTTGTTTTTAATCTATTCATAATACTATTATAAGGGATGCCACTTACGTTCTTTTAAAGCTAGAATTTTAAACTCTTTTTGACAGATGTTGAAAACATAAAAGGAAAAAGTAGTTGTAGCTACAATTCTGAAACCTGTTTTCAAATGACCTTTCTGTTCTTGCTTTTTTTTGATTATTATTATTATGATTATTAATGCAAAGATATTCATGGATTTTAATAGAATTTATATAAGACAAAATCTAGTTTCCAAAGAAATCCAAGCACCTTCTTTAATTTACACTGTTTATTTTCTTAGGCTTTTAAAGAGGACGAAGTAAAGAAGTTATCTTTCTGCTTAAGATATTTTTTCTTAAAAAAGTACATACCAAGATAGGGGACACCTTCTTTCTTCATGCCATCAACAGCTTTCTGAAGAACAGTATCTTTTATTTTCAGCAGCAAATCTTTGGAAATCTAATAAAACAATATTAGAAAACACTGTTTGTAAAAACAGAATGCATCATTTTTCTATGATGATGGTTAGCACATTTAAGAGCAAAACAGAACTTCTGGATGGTGTCTTGTTCACTTCAACATGTGCTTCAAACAACAACAAAAGAAAGGATTTTTCTCTATCCTCAGACAACATACCGCATTATTAACACAGCATGTTGCATTTCTTCAAAAACTTTAATAYACTTGATGTATATAAACACATATATGCTATACATGCAAATTATCTCATTGGTTTTACTGGAACAAACCATTTGTAAAAACAYACACTAATACATCCATTTAAATAGTGCCATTTAAAGACAAACCACAGTTAGAAAGTATAGTGCTCAATGACCAATTTTTTTTCAATAAACAAAATCAATAGTTTCATAGAGGATTCAAAAATATATTATTCAAAAAAAAAAAAACCCAAAAATAACAACAAAAAACACTAGTTATGACATTGGTTAACAGAAAGCAAAGTAAATCCTTTTGAAAACAAGTGTCCTTTAACAGGCAGACACTCAACTGCACTGAGCCACAGAAAGTGTTTATCTTTGCTTAGCTTAGCACAAGATTAATAGGGGTTTAAATGCTTAGTTCTAATGATCAGTATTTCATAATACTTTAAAAAAAAACAGGTTGCAAGAAAAAAAAAATATCCACCTGTATAATTAAAGTAACTCAGTAGAAATATCCTCCTTTATCCAGTTATGGGCTTCACTGGATTAGGTTTGTTTGGCCCAATCCTTGCCGCTCACAAGAGCCCATTCTCTCTATTCTCCCCTTCATCACTGTGAAACTGAAAATCCTTTTGTGCTTTAGATACTACAGCCTTAGTGGAAAACCTCCTTGTCACCACATTTTTACCTGAGGTGCTGGGGAATAGGCTCCCATTCCTCCCGTGTTGGGGCCTTCATCCCCATCCATTAATCGCTTGTGGTCCTGGGCTGGAGGCATGGGGGCAACCGTGACGCCATCCGTGAAACACAAGCACTGGAAAACAGGGAAAATAATTAAAGGCCAAGTTTATGACAGAAATTGCATCATGAACAAACGTATTTGGTTTTTGGTGTTGCAAAGTGGATATTAAGAGYATAAATTCTTTTTCCCTAGTAATACAAGCTACAGCACTCTAAATATATTCTTTTCTCCTTCWGGAAGCACTGCCTCAGTTTACAAGATCTTTGTGCAGAAATCATCTATTACACAACATATAAAAAATACAGTGTAACACCAAGAGTTGTGCTGAAAAGGATTACWCAAAAACTTCTAAAAAATCCTGGGATTCCCCTAAGATAGAAGCATTTCTCCCTCCCTCTGCCCCCTCCATCAGAAAGAATCATTATATTCCTTTCAAATTTCYCTTCTCCTTGTCCATAAAACCTCAATAACTTTCAAAATATTTATCTGTTTATCTAAATATTTATCTAAATATTTTATCTAATAGATGCTTTTATGACCAGTATCTTCTGATACACTTTTGCTAGCATCTTCAGCAAACTAGATGATRATGTTCACAGCTTGGACTACTGCTAGGAGTACTTATAGAAACATTTCATATTTCATAAGGCAAGCAAGGATTCCCTACAAAGCCACAAAATGCCAAAATATTCATATATTAAAATTTACAGCTAATTGTGGCAGGTGAATTATTTTGACAGGCAAGCTGAGCATTATTTTATATTCATGGTTATCAGTCATCCTAGGAAAAAATATTTAACCTGCATGTTTAAGTTCTTGTGTCGTATCACAAGAATTCAGTCCATATTTTAAGGGCTAATTAAGAGAATTAGACTGTTTTCATCAGAGAATCAAGATGTGGCTAATGCCTTAGTTTCTTACAAGGTCAAGCTAACCAAGAAGAAATAAGGATGGTCAATAACTGCAGTTATAATTTTTTTTTTTAATACTGGCCAGGAAATTAGACCATGCAAAGGCTGGCAGCAGTCGGAGGCGGCTGCTTACTTTATAAATACAACCTCCTCGAAGATGAATGTGTGCAGAATTTAGCCTAGGCCAATGCCAGCTCGGGGACTGGGAAACCTGAGAGCGTGCTTGGCTGTGCTAGTTTGTGTGATGCCAGGGTCAAGTTGCCTTGCCACCTTCTCAAGACCTAGGCTCTCGTTCCCTCTTTCTCTTTTACATTCCGCCAATCTTTACATTAGCAGAATGTAAACTGTAAACTACTCTTTTTTAAAGTGTTTAAGTTGCACTCCCATGAAAACTCAAGTAGTGTAGCCGAGTCAGTAGCAAACAGCAGAAGAGAAGGAGGAACAGGGAAGGGAAAGAAGATCCCATACTGCCTTTGCCAGAGAAACCRTAACACAGAGCAGCACCCTTAACGACACTAAAAAATTAAACGGTTTGATTTTTTTTCCCCACATGTTAGCAAGCGATTACTGCTTGAGTTATTTTCATTTACACTGTGACTTACTTTAACAGATTGCAGGCAGTTTTGTCCTTATCACAGCTGCTTTATTTGCAGTTTTAATTAATATAGATAACTGTCTTTAAATTAAATAATAAAATCTTACATATGCCTGCTGTTGGCACTTCTATGATGTTTCCTAAACATCATAGAATAATATTAAAATTGGAATAATAGATATATTCCGAGAGATGCACACTTACAGAAACTTCTTCTCCTTCAAGAAGTTCTTCAACAACAACCGTTTCCCCAGCCATGCCAAAAGTCTTATCCTACATTAAAAAGAAAACCTCTTTAGTTCTGTGTTTCAGCATTTTTTTTAATATTCAAAGTACAACAAGAAAAYATATTTTTGATAAAGCAAGAAAAAAAAATACAGCACAGTTTTGAGACTATGGATCCATTCTCCATTCAGGAAACAGCAGCAATGGTAAAATCTTTGCTCATCTTTTTTGCTTTTTAAGAAATATAGATTTTAGCTGAAATGTTTTAAAATTGCAGATGATACTTGTGACTTATTAAGCAATTCCTCATGCTCAACTTTCTGAAGTTTGCACTCACGATACTGAAGGATACAGCAATTACTGTCAAGTCCATAATCTGAACTCAGCTTTATCTGAAAGTGCAATTATATAAACTACACTGGAGGGGAGCGATAGTCTCACGTTTCAGTGCTACGTTGGAACACTGACTACATATTTATGCATTACAAAACCACCACAGCACACTGCCAAATAATTCTGTGTTCTGTTGAACAGTCTTATGACTGTTTAACAGAATAAGGAATGTGTTTTGTTCAAGGCAGAACAAGCTTGCCACACGTTAAGCTATATCTTTGTCCAATAAGCACACAAACACACACACAAAAGGAGTGCTTACCCTATATCCTGACCCTTGAATTGTAACAAGTGTGTCAGACAATCATCTCCTATAAATGAGCATAGCTCCAGCTCCACTGTATTGTAAGATGCTGTGCTGCTGACACCAGCTGAGGATTTGACCTGCGTGTGTCTTTTTTCCAGCTCTATGTTTCCAAACATTCAGACAGAATTAGTTCATTTTGCTTCTCTTCAAGGTAAGAAAAAAACAGATTTTGATGGTCCTCGTGTATTTGTTCATTATGCTACCTAAATATATATTTAAGTTAGAGTAAAACTACTGAAATTTAACTACATGTTTAAGTGCTGTGTGACTTAAAGTCTAAAGCTGAGGTTGCTTCTCAAGATCCAACTTAATTCTAGTGTTACTATTGTTTTACAAYAGGAAAGTCACAAAATGATGAGTAAAAAAAGAAAATCCATATGGATATAAGTAGAGGTCTTATTTAAGAAATATTTTATTTGACCTTACAGGAACGGTGCCTAGAAAGAGTACTCTGTCTCAAGTAAGAAATAYGATACAGCTTTATAGCTGTCTAAATACTGGGTAAAGGATTTCACTTCTGCTAGCTAAATTCCTATTATAGAAAAATAAAACAAGAATATCTTTGAGCCTCTGCCATGGTTATGTACTTATTTTGTGTGGTAACTCTGTGAGTAAGGGCACGGCATTTCTACTCACCTGCATGATTTCAGCAACAGCTTTGCAGGCCTCCTCCCTGTTCGAAGCCACGATTACTCCTTTGCCAGCTGCCAGGCCACTGGCTTTTACAACCAGCGCAGGGAAGTTTGCACTTTGGAAGAGGAAGAGAGGGATTCAGTAGTAAACACACTGTATTCCAAATAGATTTTGTAAGAATTTTGAATGTTAAATGGATAAAAAATTAAAATGCTCATCAGCTTCCATAGCAACAGCTTTGCATTACTGAATAACACATACACAAAATCCAGGGTTCTCTTGCTWGGCTATGCCTGTAGAGGACATCCACTTTGGGTTTCCTTGCCGCAATTAAATTTCAGCACCGTCCAAAAGGTTGCTTTATTTTTAACAATTTACTACCATCTCATTTCTGAATGAGCTGGATTGTATTCTGATAAGTATCATCATTTGCTGARTAAGTCTCAGATGCAGAATTTGTATTCATGGAGATAAGGACAGAACCTACTATAACTATCACACCCCAAGCTGCCTTCCATACTAAGCAATTTGGGGAAACAAAAATAAAAAAAGAAACCAAAAAACCTCTCAGGTATTACCTTCCAAATTGAACTCTGAGTTCAATTTTCATTAAGGGCCAAAAAATATGGAGCTTAATTACCAAACATTTTGCAATGTGACAGTGTTATTTCAGATTGTCCTTCAAAACCTTTACAGATGTTTCACTGACAGAAGTATTGATACATTAGCAATCATTGGTCAGTTTTGGATATCTAGTACATACACATTGCTTTAATGAAAAAAGATAAATTACCTATTGATAAAGCTACATGCTGCTTTAGGATCAGTAAAAGATTTCCATCTTGCAGTTGGGATCCCGTGACGATCCAGAAAAGCTTTGGTGAAGCTCTTACTGGACTCCAGCTGGGCTGCCTTTGCTGTTGGACCAAAGCATCTCACTCCAGCTGCTGTCAAGTCATCAACAATTCCTAAGAAAACCAACACACACACAAAGTTATTCAAATTACCAGATTTATAAGAATTATGCATTACCAAATCCGCAGGTGTTTTGATTTGCTGGAACAAATGTCAAGAACGTGAAGCCATCATTGCAGCCAATATTTTACCAGAAAGGCCTTATGGTGCAGTTGTTAGGTAACCAGCAGCAGCTAATCCTGCAATGTTTGGGGCTAAAGGGATCTGTTGCATTTGGGAAGAGTTGACAGTCTTCCCTTTTCTTATTAAAACTTTTAGCCAAAAACTCCACATTCATGAAGGCAAAGGAGATAAGAATTCTTGACCAAATTAAAACATAAAGCAGAGAAATTAAGAACATATTCATAAATCTTCATTTAGGAAATCTCCATAGAAAAATAACACCAAGGTTCATAAATGCAAACACTGTGTTACCTCTTTTACAACATGGAAACATGGTGATACCTCTTTTATTATTTCAAAGAACTTAAAAAGAAATGAAATTGTTGAGAATACTGTAACTGCTACAGCACTCACACAGTACACTTTCACAAATTCATTTTCATCCCTGCACAACCCTAAATTCAAGAAGATTTCTCTTGAATTTAGGGTTGTGCAGGGATGAAAATGAATCTACAGGATCTACTTCCACTGCTATCAAGGACACCCTTTGATACTGATGACTGTGGTGGGAAGAAGACTGCCMTTAACATTTAGTTTTCTTCCAAAAATGCAAAGGCTATGGGCTGTCGTTTGCTTTCTTACCAGCAGCAAGAGGAACCTCTGGGCCAACCACGACCAGCTTGATCTCCTGCTCTTTGCAGAACTGGGCAAGGGCACTGTGATTGCTGACTGAAACAGCTGTTAAAGATTAAAATAAAAAAAAAGAAAAAAAGGTGGTGAGACTGCAAGTCACTAAGCATTTATTTGTCATGTAACACTGAAGCAATATTTTAACAAGCCTCACATTCTTGAATGATGGGTCATTGTGCAGCTAGAAGGGCAAGGCCTGCACATGTGAGGTCTGCATGTGTCTACAAAGAAACAATATACCCTAAAACAAACAACCCAAAATCCAACTCCAAAAGGCCACAGTTTGACGTGAATGTTAAATCCACCTTGTTCTTGCAGAGGAGAACAACAGAAGTCTGAATTGTTCTTGCAGAGGAGAACAACAGAAGTCTGAATTCCTCTACACTAACATACACAAATTGTTCCCATCTCTGGGAATATCTCATTTGCCAGGCTAAGGATTGTAATGGATACAAGTGAAAAATAACCCAGAGCTGAAAAAAAGAGCTTATTTGGCAGGCAGTCTCCTCCCTGAGCAGGTTSACCATGAAGTTGTACGTGTGATTGTACATGTGATTGTGCCAGTATGGTAGAGGGGACAGAAATATGCAGCTTGGAGTGGSATAGTAATGGCTTCCTCCTGTTTTTTGCTTTTTTTTTTTCTTCTTTTTCTTCTTTTCACTGTAGTAAGAGCTTAAAGGTGCCACACTAATCTATGAACTCACTGAAACAAAGGGAGACTCGGACMCTTTCTCTTGCAGTAGGCTAAACTTAATAAGGAAGGGTGCTGTTGATTTTGGTTAGGATGTACGATCTGAGATTACAGGGACAGTTATCTTCTTACACACAGGCATTTTACAGGATGGTACTAAAAATGCCAGAAAACGCGCATAGAAGAAAAAAAAAATTGCAAGAAAGACAACAGTGTCAAATCCAACGATCAAAATTTACGCAAAGGCTGTGCAATTCCCCTGCTTTTATCAAGAATAAATAAAGCCAAGGTCTAGAGGGGACTGCAATGTGAACTTGTAGACTCTGCCAAAACCCAGCGAGCGGAGCCTGGTGCACATTGGCTGCCTGTACGGGGAGGGGACCGACGCAGCGGGGTAGGAGTTTGGCAAGTGGAGTAAAGTACAGGTCCTCCTCRGAGCTGGGCTCCTCTGCTTTAAGGTGTCCTCCGTTCCTGGGCCCTCGTGCTAGTGATGAGGCTGGCAGCCACGTGCAGAGCGGGTTCCCTGTTGCAGCTACCTCCTGAGGACGTGAAGGGAGAGTCTGYGTGCCAGGGAAACGACTGAAGCACTTGTGGTCCCAAGCACAAGCATAAAGCGTCTCCTTTCAGACAAATTTACACAGTTTTATGCTGGTACCCTCTTCATTTCTGACATCCTGCACTAATAAATYCCTGCTTCTACAAAAGCAGCAGGAATCTCTGAATAACACCCAGAAAAGCTATCTGAAACCTGCATTTGGATTATAGACTTATGCTACTCGAGTAGAGCAGGGGGCAGGTATTAAAGTTACCTCCTTGATACCTATGTAACAGTTCAATTATTCCTTTTTGCCAACATAGGCAAGCAAGGAAACGCAAAGGCTTCTGACTTTTATCTACAATTTTGCTGGTTCACAGGAAAGCAAGAACATAAGCATAGCTTGGCTTTAAAATTTGGACTAAAATGAAGGTCAGTATTGAAGGGGTTGGTTTTCCAGTCCCCTGGGGCTGTTGTGAAAGCAGGTACCAACAGCAGATCCCTAGTGAACAGCATTTTGCTGGGTGACAGAAGAGGGGCCATCCCTGCTCCCTGCACAATTAATCCACAGGCAAGGGAGAAGGGAAAGGAAGGTCCCCCTAAAGGTGGCTGTGCTTTTCGTCCTGAATCATCTTCTTCCCTGGGCTTCACCTACATACCTATAAGAGGTATGGAACAGGGAATATGGCACAAGATTCACAGTATGTGGAAATGTCCTGGTAGCGAATAAAAAGGAGTAAGTCACATTATTCACATATAACCCTGTTTTCCTCTGGAGCCACACTGAATGGGAAGTTTTTATGGTTTGTTTGTTTTTGTAGCAGTGTTTTATTTCTCAAAAAGACAGCTAAATATTCCTTCCAAACCAGACAGAAGGAAATTTGACGCAGCTTTTCAGAACTGGAGCTTAAAGTTCAGAGTATTACTTCTATTCAGAGCTAAAATGGAATGGAAAGAGATGTCAGCAACACTACTGTCCATTCCCAGACACTGCATGAATGTCTCRAACAGGAGTCAGCAACCCATTCCACACACTTCCGGCCAAAGATCAGCCCTGCTAATTAAGTTTAAACTAAATATAAAACTATATTTAGGCACTCAGCCCAAATCTGTCTTTATTGCCAGAAACAACTGCTGATCCACATTAAGTGCAGAACTCTTTTTAACAGAAGTACTGGCAAGGTTTATATGGTGGACAATTATTCATAAATTTTAGGTTGGCCTTTATATGTTTTGGAAATCATCTGAAAGGCAGAACTGCAACCCCAGTTAACGGAAATCTCGTGAACCACAGGAGAGGATCAACTTTCAGAGCCAGGCCTTGATCACAGGGAAAAACAAACCCATCGGTAGCATTTCACAGGCACGGGTRCGCAAGCATCACCTGCTACAACAGGGCTCAGGAGCCTCTTTAAAACTCTCCTTCCATTTCTGCCACGAGCACAAATCTAGACCTCAGTGCTAGAGCTAAAGCATCTGAGCAGCTATGAATTGCTTCCTCTTGGATAAAAAGAAATCAAGCTCTTCACAAAAGCCTAGATTCTGCCCTCCTCCCTGTGGCCTGTGGATTTCTCTCCTGCAGCACGTGGGAGGC